TGCTTTATTAAAATAGTGTTTTTGGACCGTTGACAAAATTTTTGCTAGGCAATCACTGTAGGTCAAATTCTTGCTAACAGTAATAAATTCTGCAGGGGGTACACAGCTTTTAATTTTTTTTTTTTTTTAAAGATGAAATCACTTTATGAAATAAGCTGTTAAGTGGAGAATCAGCAAGATAGAGTAGCCATTTTTATAAAGAGTAGTTAACTTGCAATCAATCCGGAGTACCCTTAACACTGAGCAAACACTGATATTGGACTTACGACTACTTATTAATAGGATAGTTAATTGAGTGGAATGGTTATGAAACCCGTCAGACTCCTTTGTTATATTTTTTTGTGGACCTCAAAGTGCACAACGTTCAAAAGAATTCCTATCATTTTGATTGTATTGACCAATAAAGACGTTGCATTAATTTATTCCGTAACAATTTGCCAACAGAAAACAAAGGATTGTGCACTTTCACGGTGCTTTGAACATAAACTGCAGCACTGTTGTTTTTATCACTGATGTTTGCGCTTTTCATAACCAGTCTCATCTAATAACTATGTTGATAGTAACACTTCAGACACTTGAGAACGTCTCGCGGCCAAAGTCACGACAGCGAACCCAATGAACTGTTTGAATTTATTCAGTTGTGTTGTTTGTACTTGAATCATTGCTTAGTTCAATGTTATATTTTTTTGTCCGAGCAATTTGTCTGCTAGTTGAGGCTGTATTACAAAATGTCGACAAAAAACAAAACAAAACCTATCTTTAAAACTTTGTAAAAACTAGAAAATTTAATTGGATTCTTCATCAGCAGGATTCTTTAAACGTTTTCGTTTCAAACTGAAACCCGTTTGCCAACAATGGAAAATGAATCTGCTGTAGACAGAAATCCTTTTAAAGATACTCGTGAGATAAAGCCATGTTACCTAAAGGTTAGTGCAGTCACTCTTATTAAACGTCAATGCTGACTATCTTGGCAGTTAGTAACCTTCTACGCAGGCCATGGAGCTCTTATTTCGTCCCTCATGAAATACGAGCTTCCCTAAAAACGCTTGCGTAGGAGGCTAGGTAGGTAGTGGAAATATTTTTAATATCAACAGTATAAATTAGAGATATTGGACTGTTACTGATCTGAAAGCCGACACTTGAGTGAAAGCAGTTTTGTTCTTTCCATCACCTTACTGATAGCTAACGATGTTCATAGATATTAATACAGTTTGCCAGAAGTGGATGTAACTCATGAACGTTTCGAAACAATGTTTATAATGCCTCACTTTAATTTTATGAGTGTATCAAGTTGAAGAGAAACAATTGAACCAGTTAATGGCTAGTTGTTTGAACTTGAACCCCGGGGGGGGGGGGTACTCCCTAATATGGGCTATATAGGTATGTGCGGCCCCAAAGTATAGGGTTTTTCAGCCGTTTTGGTCATAAATTGGGTATCGATTTTGGATATTTTGCCGCCATTTTGGTCATAAATAGGGTAACGATTTTTGCACTGTAGTCTTGAATGCACTTTTTTAGAAGAAGCTACGTCCTTATCATGTCCCCCTAACCTAATAAAAGCAGATAAACATTGCCTTTAACATTGGTCTGAACTAGGGAAATAATTATAAGGCAGGTCTGAAACAGGGTATTGATTTAAGGGTCAGGTCATAAATAGGGTATCAAATTTTTGGTTAGGTCATAAATAGGGTAGGGAAAATCGCAGATTTTGGTCATAAATAGGGTAAGGGTTTTGGGAAGCGGGCCGCACACCCCTACCCAATTTTTCTGCGAGTACTCCCCCCGGGACTTGAACCTGCGAGGAATGTTACGAAATGCTAGTAGGATGGCCAGCAATACATCATTGTTGGTGTATTGGGTAAAGCTGGTTTTAGAAAACGAAAAGTCAGCAGAAATCTTAGCTAAATTTTTTAGAAATACAGTGCAGAGACTAACTTGATTTAAGAAATTAACTTGATCTCACGGCCATTTGCCTTCCTTGCGGTTAGGCATATGTCAATCTGCGGTAAGATAGTTGATTACATATCAGGTCACAAGCAATTTGACGTTGCGTCTGCTTTCTCAAATTTTAAAAAAAATCTCTCTAAAAGTATTTCTCCGTTTGGAACAGTTAAAACAGAATCAGAGAACATTTGGATCTGTTGACGGTGACTCTATAAAAAGCAACTGAACAAAGAACACAAGCAGGATGCTGCGTTACTAATTTTATTGGGGTTAGTAGCTGCAATACCATATTCGGAAATATTAGCGCGAAAAATGAAGTAATGTCGCTCTACTGCGCGCTCAAATGCAATGACGCTCAAGGCGAACTTTTTCTCGTTTAATTTTCTCTTGTGCACATGCTGGCTATCTTGTGATCTTCACTGAAACAGGTAAATAATTACTATCACGGCCGCAAGGTGAGTAATTACAAATTTTTACATAAAGAAACTGTTTTAGGTATAAATGCGAGCGGACTGTTATGTCGAAGACGTGGCACTATGAAGATGCTAATCCAGCTTGATCTTAATCAGTGTTCGCTGGAGCTCAGAAGTGGTTATGAGGACCAGCTCAGTCGCTAATGAAACTGTTAAACATTATGGCTTTACTATCAATAAAGCCTAGGCCCTTCGAACAGGACAATCACTTTACTCGTAGAAATGTTAGGCTTTGTGTGTTATAAACCCGATACGGTCCGATACATGTAATTATAAGCCGGCCTACAAAAAAATCTGGATCTTTCCTCAGGAAATATCTGTAAACTTGAGCATTAAATACATAGGCATGCTGAGTGATATTTCAAGCGAATAATTGATACTCATTTGTCTGTGTTTAACAAATACACTGGGGCATTAATTTACCTGTGTTTAACAAAATACTTCGGGCATAAAATTGCCTGTGTTTAACAAATACACTGGGGCATTAATTTGGCTGTGTTTAACAAATACACTGGGACATTAATTTTCCTGTGTTTAACAAATACACTGGGGCATTAATTTGCCTGTGTCTTACAAATACACTGGGGCATTAATTTGCCTGTGTCTAACAACAACACTGGGGCATTAATTTGCAAGTTTCTTACAAAATACGCTGGGGCATTAATTTGCTTGTGCCTAAAAAATACCCTGGGGCATTAATTTGCCTGTGTCTTACAACAATACTAGCGTATCTATTTTTATGTGACGTTTGAAGTATTTACTCCTCTCTAACAAATTTATTTATGTAATCCTTTGACAATACAAAGGCAACTAAGTTGAAGGCGCTTTAAAACTGAAAATTCCGGTGATGTATATTTTTTAACCAAACCGACACGAAACCGCTAGCCACGAAAAATATAACAGCAAAGAAAGAGTAGCCCTGTCCCATTGTTCTATTGTATTACATATCAGACGTTCAAGAAAACTCGTCTACCTTAATCAGGAAAATTTGTCACTAAAACGTGTCAGGATTAATCCGGCTTATAACACCTTCGTAAGGCTTGTCTTCTTTTTAGTGTGGTTCCTCTTTCAGCTCCTACTGTGATTCAGGTAAAAAAATTTTGCCTAGGCAGCGGGCACCCAAATGCCTGAACCGGCCTAAGCCTGTCATGTAAAAGTATTCGGCAAACAATGAATTCATGGATAGTGAACATAATTATCAGACGTTCAAGAGAACTCGTATACCTTAAGCAGGAAAATTTGCCGCTAAAACGTGTCAGGATTAATCCCGGCCGGCTTATAACACCTTCGTAAGGCTTGTCTTCTTTTTAGTGTCGTTTCTCTTTCAGCTCCTACTGTGATTCAGGTAAAAAAAAAATTACCTGAGCAGCGGGGACCCAAATGCCTGAACCGGCCTAAGCCTGTCTTGTAAAAGTATTCAAACAATGCATTCATGGATCGCAAACAGGAAGATCAACTCAACGGAAACAAATTGATCAAACTTTGCGTTTACTAGAATGAAATCGTTGAATTGAGGGTTGTGATCTGTAGAAAAACCTTTGTGAAAAAGATTGGTTACACTAAAAAGTTGAATTATTTACTTGACGTATAATTTAAGTTTCAAAATTGGTTTAGCATACAGAAACATGCTGTACCTTGACGTTGTGGACACGGGTTTTAAACTAGCATATTTAGACGTAATGACTTGAGGGTCCTTTCCGGCCACGTCACTGTAGGAACATAACGTTTTTCAGCCTAGTGATCCTATTGATTTGATTGGACCGGGAAATGAAGCGTTTATCATAAAAGTCCACCAGTTTTCTTGACGTGTTCAATCTGCAGAGTTGTGCGGACTCGCAAGTATCGAATTGGTTATCGAGTGTCTTAGGAAACACTAACAAACGAAAGGAAGGTAAGGCGTAAGTCATTATGACAGGAAGTTAACATAGTTGTTAACATTAAAGGATAAACCATTCAAGTGCTATTCACCGGTTGCAAACTCAGTTTTAGGATGAAACATTTTTTCATTTTTTCATAGAGGTGATTCTACTACAGGAAAAGCGGAACCATGTTGCAGATATTGGTTTTGTTTCTAATTGCAGGCTTATTTGGTGATGCGGGTAAATAATTTTCCTACATTTTATTTAAGATATCGAGGGGCTAGGGAAGGGGGGTCAAATTTCTCTATAAATAAAAAATGGGACCATAAACATGAGATAACCGGTTGAACGAACGTATTTACATCCAGATGGACATTTTCACACTGACGAGCTTGAAAAAGTTGGGATCTGTCAATAGACCTCGCCCCAGTGAAAAGTCACAGACATAAAGGGTGCGTTTTATGGAAGACAACAGAAGGACGTGTGTATTCAGTCCTCATTCAGACAATGATTTGCTAATATTATGCAATCGAGAAAACGAAAGTTGTTTTTCTTAATTGTTTTGCTGCAGACAATGCTCTGCTCATGCGCGATCCGGCATAGGGTGAACCAAGCCTCGTTTGTCTAGTATATCAGCGGTTATTTGATAAATGGCATTATTTTGCTCTCCCTCGTCCAAAAACTGTTTATTGTACATATTCCAGGTGCAACTTGTCAGAGAGAGATGCAGTTGCAATTCTGTGAAGGCGATTCACATACACTCTCTTGCGCTCATTTTTCCAAGAACATCAGTATCCTTTCTGCAAACTACGGTCGTTTGACTGGAGCTCAAGTCTGTGGCTGGGGACCAATAAAGTCCACTCACTGCAAAGCTGATGGAGCACTGGCCAAAGTTCAAGCTCACTGTCAGGGACGTTCACATTGCACATTGCGGGCAACCAACAGCGAGTTTGGCGATCCCTGCGATGAAACTTACAAATATCTAGAGGTAACTATTTTTCTTAGCCAAACCTTTTCTCAGCTTGGTTTCAAAGGGATCTCTTATCTTCAATTTCTCATTGTCGCCAGGATTCTTAGCTTTGGCAAGTTTATCGATCTTGAAAAAGAAGTCGTAGCCTGAGTAGCTTGTGTGGAAGAGAGGAGCGAAAAGGGGAAAAGGGGAGAAGGGAGACTGAGAAACTACTGACACAAAAACGACGGGAGAAGGGTCTATCCTCCCCCCGCATTTACCTTAATTTGTATTTGTAGTGTCCACCCCTTTTTTTCTTGGCTTTCCCGGCCACTTCAGCCCTTTTTCTATTGTGAATTATTATTAAAGCGATGTAGCCTAATGTCATCCAATCCCGTCCTCCCCCACATCAGGGTGGAAAAGAAAATTCAAAAATAGAAATAAGATGCGTAAATATCTACATCAGACAACTGATTTCTATGGATGTACATGTTACTGGTTATTAAAATGCTATCCTTAACTCGATTTTGATCCCTTTGGGACTGTTGGAATGGGTACAGTTAATAGCTTGATGGCAGCAAGCCTTGATTTCTTTTTTTGTTGATAATATATACTAACTCATGTCCGCTGAATTCAACAGATTCGCTACATATGTGAGTGAGAACGCCAAGACTCTGGTTCAGTTAAAAACGGTGGCGTGAGCCGTTAGTAGTGATCGAAAAAGACAACCTTAATTAACAGCTGTGCAAAGAAAGTGTCACTTGACAATTTAGACGATTTAGCTTATGTAGTTTGCTTGGAAAGAAAATCATTAAACTTCTTTTTGAACGAGAATGTTGTACATCGATATTTTTCTACCCCCTTTTTTTACTGTTATAGCGTGGCGTTCGTCTCATGAACAGTTCCACGTTTGGTCTAGGCCTTAGAGTCAACAAATATGGCTGCGTTTACACGACACTAGATAAGATTCAGGAGATTTTACCTGATTCATTAATGTTTTCGGTTTTACACAAAATACGAATCCGAGAAAATCCATATCTACTAAAGATTGCTCACTCACATTACCAGGCATTCCGCTGATGAGATCAGAGGCACCTTGTTGTGGTGGTGGACCATCTTGTATTTGTCTGCTTACTATTCACTTCATAGTTTAATTTTAACAACACCCAAATCCAACATTTTTCAATTTTTCAAAATTTTAAATAACACCCACTAGTTTTTATACATCAAACTCGAAAATCATCTAAAAACTATTAATCCAAGAACTGAAAACTAATTGGCAATGAATCATTTTTCGATTGAATGAAATATTGGCTGATATTTAAGAAAAAAGGGGGGAAATGTGCGAAAAGCAATGCTTTAAACCAGTCCTTAAAGGATTCTTACTAGAAGTTGTCTGTCGTGTTATCGTGACTACACTCTATGCACTCTTGTCCTCGCTGAACTTACAATTTCTCGTCCCATCTGTGAAAACGCTTGTCTCCTAACGCTCTCCCCAAGGTTGATTCACATATTACTCATTTACAAAGGTAGCTCTAAAGCTCTTCTCGCTTACTAACGAGAAGAAAAGCTTATTTAATTTTTTTATTAGAAAAAATAAGAACAAGGGAAGCTTAAAAAAAAATAGAGCTGCGATTATGGCTCGCACTGATGTTTAGTACTTCTGGTTAAACACAGATTTAGAACGCTGGGTTAGCTTTCATTACTACAAACTCCAAAGAGAAGCTAAGAGAGAAAATAGTGTAGCGATTATGGTTTGTACTGATGTATAGCGATTACGGTTAAGCACTGATTTCAGATTTAGAATGGTTAGCTCCGTTAATAAAGAAGAGCCGCCTTCTTTAGTCCAACAAGGCTTTTGAGAGGTCATCAAAGAACTGGTTAATACTGTAGATGCTATTATTTAATGGAGCAGTTGAAAATTTTCGTGATCTCTTACCCAGTTTTATTTACTTAACTTATACCAAGAAGTTGGCTTAAGAAAATATGGACTAGTCTTTCGCCCCCTAGTATTTTATCTTTTAAGCCTTAATCTTTAGTTTAATAATCGTGTGGCTTTTACGAGGAAATCTACGTTCAGTTTGTAAACAAATTGTGCCTTTTGCTTCAAACAATAAACATTTGCTTTTTTTCAGGAACGCTTATGCGTACATGTTTACTTGTAGCCACGGCTTGGCTTATGCTAAATACACCTTTTCAAATATAGGAAGCTCCAACTTACAATTCTAGTCCGATAAAAAAAAAAAAAAGATTACATCTGCGAAGACTTTTCCCGTAATCACAAAGTACTATTAAACGCTGTGAAGGTGTTCTCTATCGTTTAAGAATAAAAGCCCAGTTAAATTCGTACTTTTATATGATATGGAATCCGTCAGGAACAATTTGAAAAAGATACACTGCTACTGAATAAGTGTCAATTCACTAACGCATTTGTAAAAATAGAAAGGAAGAACCAGTTTAGCGCACTTGTATGTGAATAGTTAGCGATCGATAGCCAGCATGAACTGAGAAAAGTTTCGCCGCCAGTGTTTCTGTTCCACGTGAATTCGACCTAAGGCGCCTACACCCGTCCCCGTGGCCTACCAATAGGATCAAGAATAATTTTTCAATGGCTTTATATCAACACTGATATGTCTTGAATTTTATTGTACATAATAAGTGTTTCAAATTGTAGCTCAGATGGTAACTGTACCTTTTTTAACTTAAATCTTATTTTTAAGTGTATTTATACCTCTATTTTTTTAATCCATTTTTATATTTTAATCCATTTTAAATTTTATTTGTAATACACAATTCAGCCATATACGGCTGCGACGTATTTTAATGAAGTGTCTATCTATCTATCAAGTTCAAGTTCTATCAGTTCTCACACGACATTGTCTAGCTTGAGTTGTTTGCTTTTCTGCTTGCTTGAACACTGTGAGTGTTTAATCTCACGCAATGATCCGCTCATTTTACTTCAAACGCCAGTAATTATTGTATTTACCTTGAATTAAATAATTCTGTTTGAACTTCTGTGCGCATGAACAGTGCTTGATCGCACACGATGGTCTTATTATAACCCTCAGACGTACACCCAAACTCGCACCTCCACCGCGGTACCAATAGGGGGCTGGCTGGAACCCCCCACCTCTAGCGTCTTTCTCTTATTCTATTTTATATGCATTTACTTTTTTTGAAAAGATTCACCTTTTATAGATTCATCTTTAACAGATATAGGCTGTGATATCGTTTACAAGAATATGTTAATATTACCGGATACATACGTACGTAAGTAGCGCTGCTGAGGGCCAGTAACGTCATTTAGATTTTAAGCTTGGCTACGAAAGACTGCTTCGAAATACTAAGATGAAAAGATAAAAAAGGAAAATAACATAAAATAAAACCTAAAATTGTGGTTAAATAATGTTCCAAACAGGCCGTCCATCGACCGACGCTATATCTGTTATATGTGGTTTTCACTGATTCCGTGCGAAAGCGTTTTTAAAACTTACGGTTTAAGAAATTCCTTTTTGTCAAACAGTAGGCAATAAGAAGTGTCTATATAGAGCAGCCGCCTTCTCCAGTTTAACAAGGCTTTTAATTTCAGAAAAATAGGGAGTCTTTATTTAATTTTATAGATGAAAATCTTCGTCGTAGCTAATCTGGGTATACCTTAATTCAAATCAAGCTGTTGGCTGATAACAGTTACATAACTATTAACGATTTTACTTTTTTCAACTATGATCAAACCATCGTTTGGTTTGGGTCTTATTACCTTTCTCCCTAGTTTTAGGAGGCGTACGTGCGTACTTCAGGTAATTAACTACGGCCCTGCTTACAAAATGCACATACGACTGTTAATTAAAGTTCATCTCAGTTATTCCAAAGCGATAAAGAAAGTTTGGTCCCACGAAGATTTCCCTCAAATATAATCACAAGGTACAATTAAACGTTAAAGTATTCTCTACCGCTTAATAACAAGAGTCCGAGGAATTTCGCACCATTGTATGTTACTTTCCAGTTTATAAAAACGGTACGAAGCAAATAACAACTAAAACTTGAACTGCTTCTGAATACGTGATAATGCGCTAAGATTGGCAAAAATAAAAACAGTTCTCACATAACTTTGTCTAGCTTGAGTTGTTTGCCTTTCTGCCTGCTTGAACAGACGAGTCGCGGATGATCCTGTCATTTCACTGCAAACACCAGTAACCATTTTGTTTTATTTTCTGCTCTTTTTCCCATTTAACAAACTTCCAGTGTGAGAGATATTTAAACAGCAGTGCCCATCCTGAAGTACTAGGAATCAGATACGACGTGCGCACGTGCGTACAGCTTGCCACGCCCTTGATCACGAAATCTTTATAAGACATGTGACTCATAGATAAGACACCATTCTGTTCGTGGACGGAATTCCATCAACACTATTTCAGTGAGTTGCCTCATTCCAACCAGGTAACTGCTTTTTTAATACTAAAAGCTAAACTCACCCTTTTGATATAGCAAAGGCAGGCACATTACCAAGTCCTTAATAATTTTGTGGTACCCTCTTTTAGTTAATAATGACATTTTGCGTTTCTTTTATCTAGACCTGATCTTCGAGATTTAATCATGAGGACCGCTTTCGTTTTCCTGACACTTCTCATGCTAGTCGTAGCATCAGTAACGGCCAGAGGTAGGTTATACCTAATTTTGGCTGGGTCTTCTGGAATTCAAGCACTAGCTTTTACAACTTTATTCGATAACTGAAAGATAATCTTATTAAAAATTATAATATCAATTTTAGTGGAGGGCTATCCCAAATTTAAGGAGTTTTAAAACAGTTTTGAATCAAAACCATATTTTTCAATAGCCATAGAAGTAACGTTTCCCTTGTCCGATCACAACAGCAGATTCCCCACTACTGATTTTGGATTAAAATTATGTCAAAATGTAGTTTTAAAAGCGATTTTTCAAGCTATTTGCTAGCTTTTTAAAAGGCCAAAAGGTGTCTTCGTGGCAATTGAATTGACTGCTAAAAATAATAGCCCACTTTTGTTATTTAAGACTTAAGACTATATCAAAACCGTTCCCTGTTGTGCTGTAGCTACGGATAGCAAGGATGGACATGGATTGAAGATATATCATCATGAATCTCATGCTCAGTGATAAAGTTGGGCTAATGCCTGCAAAAATCACTGAAAACATTATTACGATTGGTACTTTCTTATGAAATTTGTGTGGTGTCTTCATTATAAATGCACGGTAAGAGAGCATTTTGTGCATAGTAACGAATCAAAGCTATGACTTTATTTAGAACAGAATTGACCGCAATATCCTCGTGGCATAGCCCCTTTGAATATATTACCATGACGATAACAAAGGTAGAGGAAATTTTTCAAGGAAGGAACACTTGATCTACGAATATTTTCTAGCCGCTGTATGTTTTTTGTAATTGAGAATCTCATTTAATTCACACTTTACAAGTTTCTATAGCCTCTCCGAAAACAGAAGCAATGAATACTGAAAAAATTCAACAAAGAAAGGTACAGTTTTCCAAGGGAAGTTTCCAATCACATTTCAACTCAAATTTCAGACGCGAAGAGTGCCCAGAGATTTGTAACAAGCCTTAAAGTTTACCGGTTAGAAATGTATTTGAAGAAAAGAATGGGTCTGAATAGTGAAATTTCCGGATTAATCATTTGATTGCTTCTTTTTACTCCAAGTTAATAAAAATTTACACAGACTCTCTCCTATTTTCAAGTTTAAAGTGACAGCTTTTTTTTTCGCTTTCTTTGCTACAGGGCCGTCTTCGTGCAAGGAGCTTTATGATCAAGGGTAAGTTGTAAGAGCTGATTTGGTCTAACATGTCTAAAACAAGAAACGGTTACAGGCAAATGGCATGCAGCTTCTTCGTTTTTATGTTTTTCACTTAAACCTTTTTGAAATATCGATGAGAAAGAAACAAGTGTTTTAAACGGCTGAGTTACATTCAAAACACCATCACCTCGTTGCCAATGGAAAAGGATGACATCTTGGATCACGTATATAGGACGAAATGACGACTTTAATTACAATGAAAGGTCGTACATGATCGAATTGGATTTGGTTTTACTACTTTTTAAGGCAAAGCTCACACCCTAACCAACACCAAAGTAAGGGTGGATTTCCATTGTCGCGTAAAAGTTCAGCATTTTCAACTTTTAAGTTAACGCTGGACCTTCCATACATTGTTTCTTTTTATTTTCGCGCGTAAAATGTATTATGTGCGCATGCACGTGAAAATTTAGCAACAGTGAAAATTCACCTTAAGGCTGACTCTTGAAACCTACTAACAACTAGTTTAAATTAACAACGAGGCATTTCAATTACAGCTCAAAGCAATTACATAAAAAACGGCCCCTACTCGAGTACTGTCATGATCATTTCGGGTATTCAGTAACTGAATACGTCTCGGCTGTATTCTCGAATCTGCCAAAGTGAGTCTGTCTGATTGGAGGGAATTCAAGAGCGCGCCCTTAGGATAATTCTTCCGAATTCACATTATGACGAGGCATTGATACTAAGTGGCCTGCCGTCTCTAAAAGACCGTAGGGCTGCTGCTTGCGAATCATTTATGCGTAATTTAAAACCATCCAACCCTGTATTTGGCCTTGCCATGAGTGGAAGGGTAACTACCGTTCACTCGTACTCGTTACGAAGCTGCCGGAGCTATAATAACAAAATGTGTAAGACAAAAGATTGTCAGAATTTGAATCTGTGAAATATTTAGATTTTTTGTCATAAGATAAATGTTAATTATGTGTAATTTGCGCACGATCCTGTTATCCAGCTCTTACTCAACTCTACTCTACCCTACCCTACCCTACCCTACTCTACTCTATTCTTTTGAAAGTAGTTGACAAAGCTAATTATATAACATGGAGCGTGCCGTGCCAATGTTTAACACTCCTACGTCTTCAATTTTCAGAGAACGTAAAAGTGGCGCGTATGACCTAGGGATTAGTCCCGGACCAGTTTACTGTCACATGGGAGATGGAAACTTTGGATGCGGAGAAGGAGGATGGACTACTGTCATGAAAATCGATGGTGCACAGGTACTCTTCTTTAAAGTTGTACTTTTTCATTGCGGACGACAAGGAGAATCCGCAATCCTAATATCTAGGTTATTAATACGCATGCGTCGCATGTATCAAGCCAGCATCCGTTTGGACTTTCACTAAGAATGAATGGAATCCAATTTGATCCCGCGTGTTTAGACCTTCCACTCACTCGTAATCTGATCACGCGTGTTTAGACCTTCCACTCACTCGTAATCTGATCACGCGTGTTTTGACCTTCCACTCACTCGTAATCTGATCACGCGTGTTTTGACCATGTGTCACGCGAAACTTATGCAAAGCACAGCCCTAGAGCGAAAGCGTTTTGACCTTCGATCGTTGTCGCCCGCACGCCGTAACCTTTGGTTATTACTATATATTACGCTTGCGTCGCATGTAGTTAGCCAGCATTCGTTTGGAATTCCACTAAGAATGTATACAATTTGATCACGCTCGTTTGGAACTTTCATCACTCTTAATCTGATCACGCGTGTTTTTGAATATCGGTCATATGAAACTTACGCAAAGCACAGCGCTGGAGCAAAAGCGTTTTGACCTTCGATTGTTGTCGCCCGTACTCCGTAACCTTTGGCTAACACCAGTTGCTAGAGCCGGAGAATCTATATTAATTACAGAAAAGCAATTTTTTACCCTTTAATTTCAGCCAACCTTCCACTACGATTCACATCATTGGAGCACCTATGGATCCAAATACCCACAAAATGGGACGACAGGATTCGACGACAAGGAAACCAAGTTGGAAACCTACGATAAAACGAGTTTCACTAAGATCTGTCTCGGCATGAAGGTAGAGAGCCAGACCAGATTTATCGTCATCAATAAGAAGGCCAAATCGCTGTACGAATTGATTTCTAAAGAGACATACGAACCAACCACCCTGGGACGTGACGAATGGAAGAAGCTGGTTGGACCTCAAGCTTCTCTGCAGAACAACTGTGAAAGAGAAGGATTCAACGCCAAAGGAGACAGGCGTTTTTTTTACCTTTCTAGAGCAAGAATTGGGATTATTGGAAACCAGGAAGACAACTGCGACAGCCCTGACTCCAGAATCGGCTTTGGTACTGGAGGACAAGAAAAAAAGAGCACTCCGCGTCACAAAGAAAACACGTGTGGAAATGAGGCTCATTGGTCGTCAGATAACCGAGATCAGTCCATCAAGGCCATGGGGTACATCTTAGTTCAATGAAGGCTGAGATTTGCACAAGTTGACAGAAGCAGTCGGATCTTAAAAAATTAGAACAGTTGATTATTGTAATTAGTGGTCTTAAGAAAATTGAAATATAAGAGATGTGTTAAACTAAAGGTAAAATAAACGCTTGCATGCACTGTCGATCAAAAATGTTTTGTTTCTTTGATCTTCTTGTTTGGTCGGGACAAACTTGTAAGAAGAACCCGAAACAAACGGCAGAGACTTTTGCTGTTGCTTTCATTTGTTACCCTCTAGGATTTTATCCGCGCGCTTAACGCTACCACACGAAAGTGCTGCTAAGTAGCTTTCATTTGAATGGATCACACTTTAGGATTTCATCCAAAGATTCAAAAGTTAGAACCACCTTGTACAGCGTAATAAACAGCACCACATGAAAGTGCTGCTAAGTAGCTTTCATTTGAATGGTCACACTCTAGTATTTCATCAACACACTTTAAGCTAGAACCAAGTTGTACAGCAAAAAGTTTTGCTCAGTAGCAGTTTCATTGAATGTGCACAATTTAGGATTTCATCCACTGTCAAAATAGGGTATCATCCGATCAATTCCGTTGTATACGGGAAAAAGCTTGCCTGAGATGTACAAACAACCCAAAACGTTTCCTATATATCATCAAAGTCGAACGGTCTTGGTTTACTGACATTCATTTTTCATTTCTTTCATGTCATATTTTTAAAGCAAAAATATTTCCCAATTGGACTAGGATTTTTACAAGGCTCCGCCTTGTATCTTAGGGAAAATGTGTCAAAATGCAATTGATTCGTCAAAATGTGACGATCCAAATTCGCCCATTATTGGGCAAGGGTAAATAAAATAACCAGTAAAAAGAAATTTTTTTTTGTTTTCAAAATTTTAAAAATGTCACGTCACTGAATCACCTCATCTTAAATTGTTCAAGTTTGTCGAATGTAATTCGTGCTAATCTCCTGCATCCAAAACCATTTAAATCCTTTGCAGTAAGTTATTTCGTCTTTCGCGTTTTTCTTTTTTAACTCTTTCAGCCCTGCTGTCTACTTTATAAAACGGTAGTCACGGGAATGAAGGCTGAAAAGATCAAACAGTACTTCTACAAAAAATGCACAGGGGAAATAAGATTTTATTTTTGTCATCAGTGTTAAAAGGGTTATTACATTTTTGGACTCCCTTCGACTTCCATGATTATTTTGCGCGTTGCCAAAAAAAGTATCTTTTGTGACAGTGCTTCTTCAGACAGCGTTCGAGTGACCACTTTGAATGCTATTAGGACTTATATTATAAGAATTTTTTCAAAAAAGATTGAATTCTTTATTTTGAATAGAGGGCTAAGATTGCCTCTAGTTACGGGGAGACAATATCTCAGGAAAAGAGTCACAAACACGCCAATATTTAATTTAGTTTAAAACCAATGGACCTTTAAAATTTGCGATTCTTTCGGCCGTAAATCGAAAAGATCCCGCCGGTTAAAAAATTTGCCTGTACTCGTGTGTCGTTGCTAAGGCACTTGCTCAGCATACTGGCACCGCTTGAACAGCGAGCAAAACAGCTACAAACGACCGCTTCAGCATGAAAACTTGCAACCCTCTACTTAGCTTCCTGTTATTCTTACGACTGGATGTCAGAAGGTTTGTTTTTCTCTTCAGTCCTAAATCATGGAACCAGCCCCGTATAAGGGAAGCCGGATTCCGAAATCCGTTAAATGTTTGCTTGTAAAATCTGTAATCCTGGACTATGGAATCCGGAATACAGCTTAAGGGATCTGGAATCTCACTAATGATTGGAGTCGGGAATCAAGTTCGACTGGCAGAGAATTTCCGGTATTGAGTACCCGGAATCCAAAATCCAAGACTGTCTTGGATTCCCTTACATCGGGCGAACGGAACGGGTCTGATAACACAATATCGGTTGGTACCTTTTAGCTGGAACCTAATGAATGTGGTCGTAATATTGTGCTTGTGACAGGTACTTCACTGTATATCTAAGAAAGCCGCAAACTACTCCTTTACAACTCTGGTGACTCAGGAGGGAATTTCTCAGAAACAATTAAATTGTCTATATCCACAGAGTAACAGAGCCTTCTAGATGGATTAGTTTTCTGCGTTACGCTTTAGCATTTCACTCGTAAAAAAAAACAGCCTCAATTGACGTTCTGGCCAGAGTGACTTTTTTCTTTCAGCAAACCATCAGCGACTAAGGAAAACTTAATTGATGAATTAACAGGAGCACGTTCACGGATGAATTGGATTGAGTTTAATTCGTTTGAATTAGCTCAGTTAAGTGAATTTGGACTCTATAGCGCTTCTCTGTAGAGAGATACTTTGTGGAAAAAGGTTTACAGCCTTAGCTAGTGGCATTCGTTTCCATTTTTGGTTTCTGTCATATTTTCTTTTAATGTTGTTATGCTTGCGTCGACAGTTGAAACGGAAACGTTTCAGCCGTCTCCGTGATCAAGTCTCTGTTTCCCCTAGTTAATTTTCATTCGTTCTTCAGCGACAAGGGAAAGTCATGCATGTACTGAAATGACAGCACGTCTATATGGCAAAAATCTACAATTTTCTTTCATATTATATCCGTTCAGCCACATGATAAATTTCCGAAGTTTTCTTTGTAGTCTCATTCGGTGTATCACGACTTAGTAGTTGCGGCAGGGAGCTTCCAAGCTTCTAAGGCAAAACATTTTAAGCCTACACTGCAAAGAGCTTTGGCAAATAGGCACGCAAGCAGTGAGTCTTGTTGAATCTGTAGTTACGTCTTGTAATACTTCTTTGCTTATTTTTCATAACATGATTACGTCGTTAGAAAAGGTATCGGTGCGCCATGTATATAACCTTATATATATAATCACATTTTCATGTTCAAAACAATTTCAACAGGCATCCCAATACAGTGTGGGCTCCAAACCTCCAGCCTGGAGCCTAAAAAGCCAACACACAGAGTTTAGCGCGCTGAAACAGAAGAAAACCAGATGGCTCTAAAAACTCTGAAACCGAATTTAGCACATTATAACTACAATAAATCGGCAGAGGCCATGCTGGAGGCCTGCAACTAAGTGCTCAACGGTCCACTCTTTGATAGATTGTGCTAACATAATTTTGGGCATAATTCGTCATTTAATACGAGCAATAATTTTCATCTTTTTTCCGAAAAAACTGTACTGCTGGCACTTTTGGCCAGAATTGTCATATACTGGTCATGCAACCAATTTTTTTGGCCCAAGATCAGTGTTACAGAGAAAAAATTAATTGTTTGTCTGCCTGTTGTCACATTCGTGGAGCTTACATGTAGGTCCTACAGGAAGTGACCCAGGATTAGGCCCAGGACCCTTTCCAACTCAACACATGCGCATAACTAGCTCGGTTACCCAAGATGGGGACTGCGTGCTGGTCAGTTTTTATTTAATAGTAGTCAGACAATTAATTATGTACTTTCTAGAAGTAAATAATGTTAATGTACTCACGATTTACTAGTTTTTTTTTTTTTGCATTGTTATTGAGGGTTTTGAGTGAAAAGAGGAGTATTTGTTACGATTTTTGTCACTTATTTTATTCATTTTTATCTCTTATTTTATTATTTTGCCACACAGAATAAATTACGGGGTGTCCCAAAAGCTCGTTCCTCTACTTTATAAGTCTGTATTTCAGAACGATTGGACTTGGTAAGCAAATCATTTCAACAAAAGTTGTGTCTTTCAATCTAATTCACTATTTTCATACTTGTTGTGCCATCTTTTGACTCGAATATTCGATATGTGTACTTCCGCGCCAAAGGTGCGCGTGCGCGAGTATATTTTCCAATCACACATTTTTTGTATTTCATAGCCCGAATCACTCGAACTCCTTCCTTGTTTTTTTGTGAATATCACGAAAGATAAACCCCCTTAGCGCAAAAACGTTCCGCTGCGTGAGAGCATAAGCCTGTATACTTCTATTTACTGGCTCATCGGTTGTAGAAATTGCTAAAAACTGGAAAAATCCAAATGTTGGGTGGTAGAATGATCATGGAGAAATGAAGGTTTTGAAGGCAAGAAACTAAGGGGAAGATCAAAAGCCCTGAATAAAGCAGCTAAAATAGTTTTAATGAAGGCTAAATAAAAAATCATGAGGAGACTCGACAAGGAAGCTCAGTCTCTCACATAGTTAGCAAGCCAAATAAAAGGGTCATGAAAAGTTGTTTGAAATGTTGAAAATTAGAGGCCCCTGAGATGGCAAAAAACCCTCTGCTTAGTCTGCCAATTAACGCCCAGCTTGAGTCAAATATGTAAAGAATTACAAAAGCCTTGCTGTGGAAGGGGGCCGGGATGATTATCTTTTTTGGATGAATGCCCGATCCGGCATAGGGTGAACAAAGCCTCGTTTGTCTAGTATATCAGCGGTTATTTGATAAATGGCAATATTTCGTTCTCCCTCGTCTAAAAACTGTTTATTGTACATATTTCAGGTGCAACTTGTCAGAGAGAGATGCAGTTGCAATTCTGTGAAGGCGATTCACATACACTCTCTTGCGCTCATTTTTCCAAGAACATCAGTATCCTTTCTGCAAACTACGGTCGTTTGACTGGAGCTCAAGTCTGTGGCTGGGGACCAATAAAGTCCACTCACTGCAAAGCTGATGGAGCACTTGCCAAAGTTCAAGCTCACTGTCAGGGACGTTCACATTGCACATTGCGGGCAACCAACAGCGAGTTTGGCGATCCCTGCGATGAAACTTACAAATATCTAGAGGTAACTATTTTTCTTAGGCAAACCTTTTCTCAGCTTGGTTTCAAAGGGATCTCTTTTCTTCAATTTCTCATTGTCGCCAGGATTCGTAGCTTTGGCAAGTTCATCGATCTTGAAAAAGAAGTCGTAGCCTGAGTAGCTAGAGTGGAAGAGAGGAGCGAAAAGGGGAAAAGGGGAGAAGAGAGACTGAGAAACTACTGACACAAAAACGACGGGCGAAGGGTCTATCCTCCCCCAGCATTTACCTTAATTTGTATTTGTAGTGTCCACCCCTTTTTTTCTTGGCTTTCCCGGCCACTTCAGCCCTTTTTCTACTGTGAATTATTATTAAAGCGATGTAGCCTATTGTCATCCAATCCCGTCCTCCCCCACATCAGGGTGGAAAAGAAAATTCAAAAATGGAAATAAGATGGGTAAATATCTACATCGGACAACTGATTTCTATAGATGTACATGTTACTGGTTATTGAATATGCTCTGATCCTTAACTCGATTTTGATCCCTTTTGGACTGTTGGAATGGGTACAGTTAATAGCTTGATAACAGCAAGCCTTGATTTCTTTTTGTTGATAATATATACTAACTCATGTTCGCTGAATTCAACAGATTCGCTACATATGTGAGTGAGAACGCCAAGACTCTGGTTCAGTTAAAAACGGTGGCGTGAGCCGTTAGTAGTGATCGAAAAAGACAACCTTCATTAATAGCTGTGCAAAGAAAGTGCCACTTGACAATTTAGACGATTTAGCTTATGTAGTTTGCTTGGAAAGAAAATCATTAAACTTCTTTTTGAACGAGAATGTTGTACATCGATATTTTTTCTACCCCTTTTTTTTCTACTGTTATAGCGTGGCGTCTTTTTTTTTAGAACCTCATTTGGTTCGCGCTTTCCTTCGCTTCCCTTCGTTGAACAGGCTATGATGTTTTGCTTCCTTGCGTGTCCCGCTTGGTCAAAAAAGAAAGGAAAATAGAGAACAATCTTGCCAGCTTATAGGAGATAGATAACTTTAAACTTATCCTGGTCAAATATTAGCACCTTTTGCTGCAAAAAATGACTAGCTTTGCTCACTGAATAAAAAAGCCGTTCCATTTAAAGAAAAACGTTTAGAACGGGATGGCGAGAGACGAACCAAGCTTAGAGTTAAGCTCATGAAAAGTTCGACCTCTGGCTCGGTTGATTTCGTCTGCATCATTCAGACGAACTCAACTCGGAGAGTTTGGATCCTCCAACACTTCTAAGATAATACATATTTAGCCTGGTTCGGGAGAAAATTAATTAAAATTGTTTTTTGGTCTGCTTCAGTTGGTTTGTTCGACGCGTCGTCCTAAGTTCGACGTCTGACCCAACAGACGATCTTAACTTAATTTAGGTCGACTCAAATTAGAGTTTGGTTCGTCTCATGAACAGTTCCACGTTTGGTCTAGGCCTTAGAGTCGACAAATTTGGCTACGTTTACATGCCCTAGATAAGATTCAGGAGATTTTACCTGATTCATTAATGTTTTCGGTTTTACACAAAATACGAATCCGAGAAAATCCATATCTACTAAAGATTCCTCACTCGCATTACCAGGCATTCCGCTGATGAGATCAGAGGCACCTTGTTGCGGTGGTGGACTATCTTGTATTTGTCTGCTTACTATTCACTTCATAGTTTAATTTTAACAACACCCAAATCCAACATTTTTCAAGTTTTCAAAATTTTAAATAACACCCATTAATTTTTATACATCAAACTCGAAAATCATCTAAAAACTATTAATTCAAGAACTGAAAACTAATTGGCAATGAATCATTTTTCGATTGAATGAAATATTGGCTGATATTTAAGAAAAAAGGGGAGAAATGTGCGAAAAGCAATGCTTTAAACCAGTCCTCAAAGGATTCTTACTAGAAGTTGTCTGTCGTGTTATCGTGACTACACTCTAGGCACTCTTGTCCTCGCTGAACTTATAATTTCTCGTCCCATCTGTGAAAACGCTTGTCACCTAACGCTCTCCCCAAGGTTGATTCACATATTACCTATTTACAAAGGTAGCTCAAAAGCTCTTCTCGCTTACTAACGAGAAGAAAAGCTTATTCAGTGGAAAAATAAGAAAAAGGGAAGCTTAAAAAAAGTAGAGCTGCGATTATGGCTCGCACTGATGTTTAGTACTTCTGGTTAAACACAGATTTAGAACGCCGGGTTAGTTTTCTTAACTACAAACTCCAAAGAGAAGCTAAGAGACAAAATAGTGCAGCGATTATGGTTTGTACTGATGTATAGCGATTACGGTTAAGCACTGATTTCAGATTTAGAATGGTTAGCTCCGTTAATAAGGAAGAGCCGCCTTCTTTAGTCCAACAAGGCTTTTGAGAGGTGATCAAAGAACTGGTTAATACTGTAGATGCTATTATTTAACGTAGCAGATGAAAATTTTCATGATCGCTTAGCCAATGCTTTTTACTTAACTTATACCAAGTAGTTGCCTTCAGAATATATGGACTAGTCTTTCGCCCCCCAGTATTTTATCTTTTAAGCCTTAATATTTAGTTTAATAATCGTGTGGCTTTTACGAGGAAATCTACTTTCAGTTTGTAAACAAATTGTGCTTTTTGCTTCGAAGAATAAACATTCGCTCTTTTTTCAGGAACGCTTATGCGTACATGTTTACTTGTAGCCACGGCTTGGCTTATGCTAAATACACCTTTTCAAATATAGGAAGCTCCAACTTACAATTCTAGTGCGATTAAAAAAACATTGCATCTGCGAAGATTTTTCCCGTAATCACAAAGTACAATTACACGCTGTGAAGGTGTTCTCTATCGTTTAAGAATAAAAGCCCAATTAAATTCGTACTTTTATATGATATGGAATCCGTTAGGAACAATTTAAAAAAGATACACTGCTATTGATCAATACATGTCAATTCACTAACGCATTTGCAAAAAAAGAAAAGTTCAGCACACTCGCATGTGAATAGTTAGCGATCGATAGCCAGCACGAACTGAGAAAGGTTTCGCCGCCAGTGTTTCTGTTCCACGTGAATTCGACCTAAGGCGCCTATACCCGTCCCAGTGGCCTACCAATAGGATCAAGAATAATTTTTCAATGGCTTTATGTCAGCACTGATATGTCTTGAATTTTATTGTTGATCATAAGTGTTTCAAATTGTAGCTTAGGTGGTAACTGTACCTTTTTTAACTTAAATCTTATTTTTAAGCGTATTTATGCCTCTATTTTTTTTCATTCATTTTTATATTTTAATACATTTTAAATTTTATATGTAATACACAATTCAGCCATATACGGCTGGGACGTATTTTAATAAAGTGTCTATCTATCAAGTTCAAGTTCTTTCAGTTCTCACACGACATTGTCTAGCTTGAGTTGTTTGCTTTTCTGCTTGCTTATTGAACACTGTGAGTGTTTAATCTCACGCAATGATCCGCTCATTTTACTTCAAACGCCAGTAATTATTGTATTTACCTTGAATTAAATAATTATGTTTGAACTTCTGCGCGCATGAACAGTGCTTGATCGCACACGATGGGCTTACTTTAACCCTCGGACGTACACCCAAACTCGCACCTCCACCGCAGTACCAATAGGGGGCTGGCTGGAACCCCCCACCTCTACCGTCTTTCTCTTATTCTATTTTATATGCGTTTACTTTTTTTGAAAAGATTCACCTTTAATAGATATAGGCTGTCATATCGTTTACAAGAATATGTTAATATTACGGGATACATACGCACGTAATTAGCGCTGTTGGGGGCCAGTAACGTCATTTAGATTTTAAGCTTGGCTACGAAAGACTGCTTCCAAATACTAAGATGAAAAGAAAAAAAAGGAAAATAAAATAAAATAAAACCTAAAATTGTGGTTAAATAATGTTCCAAACAGGCCGTCCATCGAACGACGCTATATCTGTTATATGTGGTTTTCACTCATTCCGTGCGAAAGCGTTTTTAAAACTAACGGTTTAAGAAATTCCTTTTTTTCAAACAGTAGGCAATAAGAAGTGTTTATATAGAGCAACCGCCTTCTTCTCCAGTTTAACAAGGCTTTTAATTTCAGAAAAATTGGGAGTCTTTTTTTAATTTTATAGATGAAAAACTACACGGTAGCTAATCTGGGTATACCTTAATTCGAATCAAGCTGTTGGCTAATAAAAGTTACATAACTATGAACGATTTTACTTTTTCAACTATGATCAAACCATCGTTTGGTTTGGGTCTTATTACCTTTCTCCCTAGTTTTAGGAGGCGTACGTGGGTACCTCAGGTAATTAACTACGGCCCTGCTTACAAAATGCACATACAACTGTTAATTAAAGTTCATCTCAGTTATTCCGAAGCGATAAAGAAAGTTTGGTCCCACGAAGATTTCCCTCAAATATAATCACAAGGTACAATTAAACGTTAAAGTATTCTCTACCGCTTAATAACAAGAGTCCGAGGAATTTCGCACCATTGTATGTTACTTTCCAGTTTATAAAAACGGTACGAAGCAAATAACAACTAAAACTTGAACTGCTTCTGAATACGTGATAATGCGCTAAGATTGGCAAAAATAAAAACAGTTCTCACATAACTTTGTCTAGCTTGAGTTGTTTGCCTTTCTGCCTGCTTGAACAGACGAGTCGCGGATGATCCTGTCATTTCACTGCAAGCACCAGTAACCATTTTGTTTTATTTTCTGCTCTTTTTCCCATTTAACAAACTTCCAGTGTGAGAGATATTTAAACAGCAGTGCCCATCCTGAAGTACTAGGAATCAGATACGACGTGCGCACGTGCGTACAGCTTGCCACGCCCTTGATCACGAAATCTTTATAAGACATGTGACTCATAGATAAGACACCATTCTGTTCGTGGACGGAATTCCATCAACACTATTTCAGTGAGTTGCCTCATTCCAACCAGGTAACTGCTTTTTTAATACTAAAAGCTAAACTCACCCTTTTGATATAGCAAAGGCAGGCACATTACCAAGTCCTTAATAATTTTGTGGTACCCTCTTTTAGTTAATAATGACATTTTGCGTTTCTTTTATCTAGACCTGATCTTCGAGATTTAATCATGAGGACCGCTTTCGTTTTCCTGACACTTCTCATGCTAGTCGTAGCATCAGTAACGGCCAGAGGTAGGTTATACCTAATTTAGCTACGGATAGCAAGGATGGACATGGATTGAAGATATATCATTGAATCTCAGTGATAAAGTTGGGCTAATGCCTGCAAAAATCACTGAAAACATTATTACGATTGGTACTTTCTTATGAAATTTGTGTGGTGTCTTCATTATAAATGCACAGTAAGAGAGCATTTTGTGCATAGTAACGAATCAAAGCTATGACTTTATTTAGAACAGAATTGACCGCAATATCCTCGTGGCATAGCCCCTTTGAGTATATTACCATGACGATAACAAAGGTAGAGGAAATTTTTCAAGGAAGGAACACTTGATCTACGAATATTTTCTAGCCGCTGTATGTTTTTGGAATTGAGAATCTCATTTAATTCACACTTTACAAGTTTCTATAGCCTCTCCGAAAACAGAAGCAATGAATACTGAAAAAATTCAACAAAGAAAGGTACAGTTTTCCAAGGGAAGTTTCCAATCACATTTCAACCCAAATTTCAGACGCGAAGAGTGCCCAGAGATTTGTAACAAGCCTTAAAGTTTACCGGTTAGAAATGGATTGGAAGAAAAGAATGGGTCTGAATAGTGAAATTTCCGGATTAATCATTTGATTGCTTCTTTTTACTCCAAGTTAATAAAAATTTACACAGACTCTCTCCTATTTTCAAGTTTAAAGTGACAGCTTTTTTTTTCGCTTTCTTTGCTACAGGGCCGTCTTCGTGCAAGGAGCTTTATGATCAAGGGTAAGTTGTAAGAGCTGATTTGGTCTAACATGTCTAAAACAAGAAACGGTTACAGGCAAATGGCATGCAGCTTCTTCGTTTTTATGTTTTTCACTTAAACCTTTTTGAAATATCGATGAGAAAGAAACAAGTGTTTTAAACGGCTGAGTTACATTCAAAACACCATCACCTCGTTGCCAATGGAAAAGGATGACATCTTGGATCAGGTATATAGGACGAAATGACGACTTTAATTACAATGAAAGGTCGTACATGATCGAATTGGATTTGGTTTTACTACTTTTTAAGGCAAAGCTCACACCCTAACCAACACCAAAGTAAGGGTGGATTTCCATTGTCGCGTAAAAGTTCAGCATTTTCAACTTTTAAGTTAACGCTGGACCTTCCATACATTGTTTCTTTTTATTTTCGCGCGTAAAATGTATTACGTGCGCATGCACGTGAAAATTTAGCAACAGTGAAAATTCACCTTAAGGCCGACTCTTGAAACCTACTAACAACTAGTTTAAATTAACAACGAGGCATTTCAATTACAGCTCAAAGCAATTACATAAAAAACGGCCCCTACTCGAGTACTGTCATGATCATTTCGGGTATTCAGTAATTGAATACGTCTCGGCTGTATTCTCGAATCTGCCAAAGTGAGTCTGTCTGATTGGAGGGAATTCAAGAGCGCGCCCTTAGGATAATTCTTCCGAATTCACATTATGACGAGGCATTGATACTAAGTGGCCTGCCGTCTCTAAAAGACCGTAGGGCTGCTGCTTGCGAATCATTTATGCGTAATTTAAAAACATCCAACCTTGTGTTTGGCCTTGCCATGAGTGGAAGGGTAACTACCGTTCACTCGTACTCGTTACGAAGCTGCCGGAACTATAATAACAAAATGTGTAAGACAAAAGATTGTCAGAATTTGAATCTGTGAAATATTTAGATTTTTTGTCATAAGATAAATGTTAATTATGTGTAATTTGCGCACGATCCTGTTATCCAGCTCTTACTCAACTCTACTCTACCCTACCCTACCCTACCCTACTCTACTCTATTCTTTTGAAAGTAGTTGACAAAGCTAATTATATAACATGGAGCGTGCCGTGTCAATGTTTAACACTCCTACGTCTTCAATTTTCAGAGAACGTAAAAGTGGCGCGTATGACCTAGGGATTAGTCCCGGACCAGTTTACTGTCACATGGGAGATGGAAACTTTGGATGCGGAGAAGGAGGATGGACTACTGTCATGAAAATCGATGGTGCACAGGTACTCTTTTTTAAAGTTGTACTTTTTCATTGCGGGCGACAAGGAGAATCCGCAATCCTAATATCTAGGTTATTAATACGCATGCGTCGCATGTATCAAGCCAGCATCCGTTTGGACTTTCACTAAGAATGAATGGAATCCAATTTGATCCCGCGTGTTTAGACCTTCCACTCACTCGTAATCTGATCCCGCGTGTTTAGACCTTCCACTCACTCGTAATCTGATCCCGTTTAGACCTTCCACTCACTCGTAATCTGATCACGCGTGTTTAGACCTTCCACTCACTCGTAATCTGATCACGCGTGTTTTGACCTTCCACTCACTCGTAATCTGATCACGCGTGTTTTGACCATGTGTCACGCGAAACTTATGCAAAGCACAGCCCTAGAGCGAAAGCGTTTTGACCTTCGATCGTTGTCGCCCGCACGCCGTAACCTTTGGTTATTACTATATATTACGCTTGCGTCGCATGTAGTTAGCCAGCATTCGTTTGGAATTCCACTAAGAATGTATACAATTTGATCACGCTCGTTTGGAACTTTCATCACTCTTAATCTGATCACGCGTGTTTTTGAATATCGGTCATATGAAACTTACGCAAAGCACAGCGCTGGAGCAAAAGCGTTTTGACCTTCGATTGTTGTCGCCCGTACTCCGTAACCTTTGGCTAACACTAGTTGCTAGAGCCGGAGAATCTATATTAATTACAGAAAAGCAATTTTTTACCCTTTAATTTCAGCCAACCTTCCACTACGATTCACATCATTGGAGCACCTATGGATCCAAATACCCACAAAATGGGACGACAGGATTCGACGACAAGGAAACCAAGTTGGAAACCTACGATAAAACGAGTTTCACTAAGATCTGTCTCGGCATGAAGGTAGAGAGCCAGACCAGATTTATCGTCATCAATAAGAAAGCCAAGTCGCTGTACGAATTGATTTCTAAAGAGACATACGAACCAACCACCCTGGGACGTGACGAATGGAAGAAGCTGGTTGGACCTCAAGCTTCTCTGCAGAACAACTGTGAAAGAGAAGGATTCAACGCCAAAGGAGACAGGCGTTTTTTTTACCTTTCTAGAGCAAGAATTGGGATTATTGGAAACCAGGAAGACAACTGCGACAGCCCTGACTCCAGAATCGGCTTTGGTACTGGAGGACAAGAAAAACAGAGCACTCCGCGTCACAAAGAAAACACGTGTGGAAATGAGGCTCATTGGTCGTCAGATAACCGAGATCAGTCCATCAAGGCCATGGGGTACATCTTAGTTCAATGAAGGCTGAGATTTGCACAAGTTGACAGAAGCAGTCGGATCTTAAAAAATTAGAACAGTTGATTATTGTAATTAGTGGTCTTAAGAAAATTGAAATATAAGGGATGTGTTAAACTAAAGGTAAAATAAACGCTTGCATGCACTGTCGATCAAAAATGTTTTGTTTCTTTGATCTTCTTGTTTGGTCGGGACAAACTTGTAAGAAGAACCCGAAACAAACAGCAGAGACTTTTGCTGTTGCTTTCATTTGTTACCCTCTAGGATTTTATCCGCGCGCTTAACGCTACCACACGAAAGTGCTGCTAAGTAGCTTTCATTTGAATGGATCACACTTTAGGATTTCATCCAAAGATTCAAAAGTTAGAACCACCTTGTACAGCGTAATAAACAGCACCACATGAAAGTGCTGCTAAGTAGCTTTCATTTGAATGGTCACACTTTAGGATTTCATCCAAAGATTCAAAAGTTAGAACCACCTTGTACAGCATAATGAAAAAAGCCACATGAAAGTACTGCTCCGGCAGTAGCTTTCATTTGAATGGTCACACTCTAGTATTTCATCAACACACTTTAAGCTAGAACCAAGTTGTACAGCAAAAAGTTTTGCTCAGTAGCAGTTTCATTGGAATGTGCACAATTTAGGATTTCATCCACTGTCAAAATAGCGTATCATCCGATCAATTCCGTTGTATACGGGAAAAAGCTTAGCCTGCGTAGCAAGCGTTTCCTCGCGAGGTTCGTCTAGAAAGCTGGGACGAGAGCAAAAAAAAATGAATGACGGAGAAGGGGGAGGGGAAAGAAGGAACCGCTTGCCCGCAAACTCCACGATTTTGAAAAACTGCGTTCGCACACGAACGCAGCTTCTGATTGGCGCGGTGCAGGTGGTGTTGATTACTTAGCATTCGAAACATCAATCAATCCAGGTATGCTTTGTTTTCGTGCGTCACAGATCTGGTCTCATCTGATTTGTGGTCGCAGATTACAAATGCTTTGGACTGATATTTATTGGAATCGTGTTTGTGCGAAGGTTTATGAGATCAGAGTCTTCAAAGTATAATTGGAGATCGAGCAGTGGAGACTAGGGAAGGCCAATTTATTGAGAATCACGGCGTGCGGATCTGACTGGAAAAAATGGACTGTTTGTTGGAGATAACATCAACATAAATCAGAACATCGGTACTCGACACTAGCTGAAGCCGCCATGGACAAGCGATTTGTCAGCTTTTTGACATGAAAAGATTCTTTTTGTTTATTGGAAATTTAGCGGCATCTATTTTAGAGAACGTTTCGACACAGGCTGAAGAGCAGCCGCTCTGCAAAACTTATACCCTACGGAGTGAATTGTTCTTGACGTGTCGAAAGGTTTCAGACGAGATAAAGCCACACAATAAAAAACAAGAAATTCCGCATCAATCGCTCATGGTTTTAACTTTCTTTTATCGTAAATCTCTTTTATTACAGTTCTTGCAATCGCCTGCAACGTGTCCTATTAGAGAACAAAGTAATTTTACAAATCTGGTAATCCAGGGGTAATCTGTTCGTTATGTTTCTATTTTGACGAGCTGTCAATTTACAAATGAACCGAACCGTGAAATATCAAGGGGCGTTTTTCAGAATCGTGGGGTTTGCGGGCAAGCGTTTCCTCTTCTCCCGTCCCCCTCCCCCTTCAACCTTTTTTTTTTTGCTTCCGCTCTAACTTTCGCGCAATAACTCGATGGGAAACGCTTGCTACGCAGGCTAGAAAAAGCTTGCCTGAGATGTACAAACAACCCAAAACGTTTCCTATATATCATCAAAGTCGAACGGTCTTGGTTTACTGACATTCATTTTTCATTTCTTTCATGTCATATTTTTAAAGCAAAAATATTTCCCAATTGGACTAGGATTTTTACAAGGCTCCGCCTTGTATCTTAGGGGAAATGTGTCAAAATGCAATTGATTCGCCAAAATGTCACGATCCAAATTCGCCCATTATTGGGCAAGGGTAAATAAAATAACCAGTAAAAAGAAAGTTTTTTTTGTTTTCAAAATTTTAAAAATGTCACGTCACTGAATCACCTCATCTTAAATTGTTCAAGTTTGTCGAATGTAATTCGTGCTAATCTCCTGCATCCAAAACCATTTAAATCCTTTGCAGTAAGTTATTTCGTCTTTCGCGTTTTTCTTCTTTAACTCTTTCAGCCCTGCTGTCTACTTTATAAAACGGTAGTCACGGGAATGAAGGCTGAAAAGATCAAACAGTACTTCTACAAAAAATGCACAGGGGAAATAAGATTTTATTTTTGTCATCAGTGTTAAAAGGGTTATTACATTTTTGGACTCCCTTCGACTTCCATGATTATTTTGCGCGTTGCCAAAAAAAGTATCTTTTGTGACAGTGCTTCTTCAGACAGCGTTCGAGTGACCACTTTGAATGCTATTAGGACTTATATTATAAGAATTTTTTCAAAAAAGGATTGAATTCTTTATTTTGAATAGAGGGCTAAGATTGCCTCTAGTTACGGGGAGACAATATCTCAGGAAAAGAGTCACAAACACGCCAATGTTTAATTTAGTTTAAAACCAATGGACCTTTAAAATTTGCGATTCTTTCGGCCGTAAATCGAAAAGATCCCGCCGGTTAAAAAATTTGCCTGTACTCGTGTGTCGTTGCTAAGGCATTTGCTCAGCATACTGGCACCGCTTGAACAGCGAGCAAAACAGTAACAAACGACCGCTTCAGCATGAAAACTTGCAACCTTCTATTTAGCTTCCTGTTATTCTTACGACTGGATGTCAGAAGGTTTGTTTTTCTCTTCAGTCCTAAATCATGGAACCAGCCCCGTATAAGGGAAGCCGGATTCCGAAATCCGTTAAATGTTTGCTTGTAAAATCTGTAATCCTGGACTATGGAATCCGGAATACAGCTTAAGGGATCTGGAATCTCACTAATGATTGGAGTCGGGAATCAAGTTCGACTGGCAGAGAATTTCCGGTATTGAGTACCCGGAATCCAAAATCCAAGACTGTCTTGGATTCCCTTACATCGGGCGAACGGAACGGGTCTGATAACACAATATCGATTGGTACCTTTTAGCTGGAACCTAATGAATGTGGTCGTAATATTGTGCTGTGTGACAGGTACTTCACTGTATATCTAAGAAAGCCGCAAACTACTCCTTTACAACTCTGGTGACTCAGGAGGGAATTTCTCAGAAACAATTAAATTGTCTATATCCACAGAGTAACAGAGCCTTCTAGATGGATTAGTTTTCTGCGTTACGCTTTAGCATTTCACTCGTAAAAAAAAAACAGCCTCAATTGACGTTCTGGCCAGAGTGACTTTTTTCTTTCAGCAAACCATCAGCGACTAAGGAAAACTTAACTGATGAATTAACAGGAGCACGTTCACGGATGAATTGGATTGAGTTTAATTCGTTTGAATTAGCTCAGTTAAGTGAATTTGGACTCTATAGCACTTCTCTGTAGAGAGATACTTTGTGGAAAAAGGTTGAAACGGAAACGTTTCAGCCGTCTCCGTGATCAAGTCTCTGTTTCCCCTAGTTAATTTTCATTCGTTCTTCAGCGACAAGGGAAAGTCATGCATGTACTGAAATAACAGCACGTCTATATGGCAAAAATCTACAATTTGCTTTCATATTATATCCGTTCAGCCACATGATAAATTTCCGAAGTTTTCTTTGTAGTCTCATTCGGTGTATCACGACTTAGTAGTTGCGGCAGGGAGCTTCCAAGCTTCTAAGGCAAAACATTTTAAGCCTACACTGCAAAGAGCTTTGGCAAACAGGCACGCAAGCAGTGAGTCTTGTTGAATCTGTAGTTACGTCTTGTAATACTTCTTTGCTTATTTTTCATAACATGACTACGTCGTTAGAAAAGGTATCGGTGCGCCATGTATATAAGCTTATATATATATTCACATTTTCATGTCCAAAACAATTTCAACAGGCATCCCAATACAGTGTGGGCTCCAAACCTCCAGCCTGGAGCCTGAAAAGCCAACACACAGAGTTTAGCGCGCTGAAACAGAAGAAAACCAGATGGCCCTAAAAACTCTGAAACCGAATTTAGTACATTATAACTAACTACAATAAATCGGCAGAGGCCATGGTGGAGGCCTGCAACTAAGTGCTCAACGGTCCACTCTTTGATAGATTGTGCTAACATAATTTTGGGCATAATTCGTCATTTAATACGAGCAATAATTTTCATCTTTTTTCCGAAAAAACTGTACTGCTGGCACTTTTGGCCAGAATTGTCATATACTGGTCATGCAACCAATTTTTTTGGCCCAAGATCAGTGTTACAGAGAAAAAATTAATTGTTTGTCTGCCTGTTGTCACATTCGTGGAGCTTACATGTAGGTCCTACAGGAAGTGACCCAGGATTAGGCCCAGGACCCTTTCCAACTCAACACATGCGCATAACTAGCTCGGTTACCCAAGATGGGGACTGCGTGCTGGTCAGTTTTTATTTAATAGTAGTCAGACAATTAATTATGTACTTTCTAGAAGTAAATAATGTTAATGTACTCACGATTTACTAGTTTTTTTTTTTTCCATTGTTATTGAGGGTTTTGAGTGAAAAGAAGAGTATTCGTTACGATTTTTATCACTTATTTTATTCATTTTTATCTCTTATTTTATTATTTTGCCACACAGAATAAATTACGGGGTGTCCCAAAAGTTCGTTCCTCTACTTTATAAGTCTGTATTTCAGAACGATTGGACTTGGTAAGCAAATCATTTCAACAAAAGTTGTGTCTTTCAATCTAATTCACTATTTTCATACTTGTTGTGCCATCTTTTGACTCGAATATTCGATATGTGTACTTCCGCGCCAAAGGTGCGCGTGCGCGAGTATATTTTCCAATCACACATTTTTTGTATTTCATAGCCCGAATCGCTCGAACTCCTTTCTTGTTTTTTTGTGAATATCACGAAAGATAAACCCCCTTAGCGCAAAAACGTTACGCTGCGTGAGAGCATAAGCCTGTATACTTCAATTTACTGGCTCATCGGTTGTAGAAATTGCTAAAAACTGGAAAAATCCAAATGTTGGGTGGTAGAATGATCATGGAGAAATGAAGGTTTTGAAGGCAAGAAACTAAGGGGAAGATCAAAAGCCCTGAATAAAGCAGCTAAAATAGTTTTAATGAAGGCTAAATAAAAAATCATGAGGAGACTCGACAAGGAAGCTCTGTCTCTCACATAGTTAGCAAGCCAAATAAAAGGGTCATGAAAAGCTGTTTGAAATGTTGAAAATTAGAGGCCCCTGAGATGGCAAAAAACCCTCTGCTTAGTCTGCCAATTAACGCCCAGCTTGAGTCAAATATGTAAAGAATTACAAAAGCCTTGCTGTGGAAGGGGGCCGGGATGATTATCTTTTTTGGATGAATGCCCGATCCGGCATAGGGTGAACCAAGCCTCGTTTGTCTAGTATATCAGCGGTTATTTGATAAATGGCAATATTTCGTTCTCCCTCGTCTAAAAACTGTTTATTGTACATATTTCAGGTGCAACTTGTCAGAGAGAGATGCAGTTGCAATTCTGTGAAGGCGATTCACATACACTCTCTTGCGCTCATTTTTCCAAGAACATCAGTATCCTTTCTGCAAACTACGATCGTTTGACTGGAGCTCAAGTCTGTGGCTGGGGACCAATAAAGTCCACTCACTGCAAAGCTGATGGAGCACTTGCCAAAGTTCAAGCTCACTGTCAGGGACGTTCACATTGCACATTGCGGGCAACCAACAGCGAGTTTGGTGATCCCTGCGATGAAACTTACAAATATCTAGAGGTAACTATTTTTCTTAGCCAAACCTTTTCTCAGCTTGGTTTCAAAGGGATCTCTTTTCTTCAGTTTCTCATTGTCGCCAGGATTGGTAGCTTTGGCAAGTTCATCGATCTTGAAAAAGAAGTCGTAGCCTGAGTAGCTTGTGTGGAAGAGAGGAGCGAAAAGGGGAAAAGCTAGGGGAGAAGGGAGACTGAGAAACTACTGACACAAAAACGACGGGGGAAGGGTTTATCTTCCCCCCGCATTTACCTTAATTTGTAGTTGTAGTGTCCACCCCTTTTTTTCTTGGCTTTCCCGGCCACTTCAGCCCTTTTTCTGTTGTGAATTATTATTAAAGCGATGTAGCCTAATGTCATCCAATCCCGTCCTCCCCCACATCAGGGTGGAAAAGAAAATTCAAAAATGGAAATAAGATGGGTAAATATCTACATCGGACAACTGATTTCTATGGATGTACATGTTACTGGTTATTGAATATGCTATCCTTAACTCGATTTTGATCCCTTTTGGACTGTTGGAATGGGTAGAGTTAATAGCTTGATGGTAGCAAGCCTTGATTTCTTTTTGTTGATAATATATACTAACTCATGTCCGCTGAATTCAACAGATTCGCTACATATGTGAGTGAGAACGCCAAGACTCTGGTTCAGTTAAAAACGGTGGCGTGAGCCGTTAGTAGTGATCGAAAAAGACAACCTTCATTAACAGCTGTGCAAAGAAAGTGCCACTTGACAATTTAGACGATTTAGCTTATGTAGTTTGCTTGGAAAGAAAATCATTAAACTTCTTTTTGAACGAGAATGTTGTACATCGATATTTTTTCTACCCCCTTTTTTTACTGTTATAGCGTGGCGTCCGTTTCATGAACAGTTCCACGTTTGGTCTAGGCCTTAGAGTCAACAAATATGGCTACGTTTACACGACACTAGATAAGATTCAGGATATTTTACCTGTTTCATTAATGTTTTCGGTTTTACACAAAATACGAATCCGAGAAAATCCATATCTACTAAAGATTCCTCACTCACATTACCAGGCATTCCGCTGATGAGATCAGAGGCACCTTGTTGTGGTGGTGGACTATCTTGTATTTGTCTGCTTACTATTCACTTCATAGTTTAATTTTAACAACACCCAAATGCAAAATTTTTCAACACCCATTAGTTTTTATACATCAAACTCGAAAATCATCTAAAAACTATTAATCCAAGAACTGAAAACTAATTGGCAATGAATCATTTTTCGATTGAATGAAATATTGGCTGATATTTAACAAAAAAGGGGGGAAATGTGCGAAAAGCAATGCTTTAAACCAGTCCTTAAAGGATTCTTACTAGAAGTGGTCTGTCGTGTTATCGTGACTACACTCTATACACTCTTGTCCTCGCTGAACTTACAATTTCTCGTCCCATCTGTGAAAACGCTTGTCTCCTAACGCTCTCCCCAAGGTTGATTCTCATATTACTCATTTACAAAGGTAGCTCCAAAGCTCTTCTCGCTTACTAACGAGAAGAAAAGCTTATTTAGCGGAAAAAATAAGAACAAGGGAAGCTTAAAAAAAAATAGAGCTGCGATTATGGCTCGCACTGATGTTTAGTACTTCTGGTTAAACACAGATTTAGAACGCTGGGTTAGCTTTCATTACTACAAACTCCAAAGAGAAGCTAAGAGAGAAAATAGTGTAGCGATTATGGTTTGTACTGATGTATAGCGATTACGGTTAAGCACTGATTTCAGATTTAGAATGTTTATCTCCGTTAATAAAGAAGAGCCGCCTCCTTTAGTCCAACAAGGCTTTTGAGAGGTGATCAAAGAACTGGTTAATACTGTAGATACTATTATTTAATGTAGCAGTTGAAAATTTTCATGATCTCTTACCCAGTTTTATTTACTTAACTTATACCAAGAAGCTGGCTTAAGAAAATAGGGACTAGTCTTTCGCCCCCTAGTATTTTATCTTTAAAGCCTTAATCTTTAGTTTAATAATCGTGTGGCTTTTACGAGGAAATCTACGTTCAGTTTGTAAACAAATTGTGCCTTTTGCTTCAAACAATAAACATTTGCTTTTATTCATGTTTACTTGTAGCCACGGCTTGGCTTATGCTAAATACACCTTTTCAAATATAGGAAGCTCCAACTTACAATTCTAGTCCGATAAAAAAAAAAAAAAAGATTACATCTGCGAAGACTTTTCCCGTAATCACAAAGTACTATTAAACGCTGTGAAGGTGTTCTCTATCGTTTAAGAATAAAAGCCCAATTAAATTCGTACTTTTATATGATATGGAATCCGTCAGGAACAATTTGAAAAAGATACACTGCTACTGAATAAGTGTCAATTCACTAACGCATTTGTAAAAATAGAAAGGAAGAACCAGTTTAGCGCACTTGTATGTGAATAGTTAGCGATCGATAGCCAGCATGAACTGAGAAAAGTTTCGCCGCCAGTGTTTCTATTCCACGTGAATTCGACCTAAGGCGCCTACACCCGTCCCCGTGGCCTACCAATAGGTTCAAGAATAATTTTTCAATGGCTTTATATCAACACTGATATGTCTTGAATTTTATTGTACATAATAAGTGTTTCAAATTGTAGCTTAGATGGTAGCTGTACCTTTTTTAACTTAAATCTTATTTTTAAGTGTATTTATACCTCTATTTTTTTAATCCATTTTTATATTTTAATCCATTTTAAATTTTATATGTAATACACAATTCAGCCATATACGGCTGCGACGTATTTTAATGAAGTGTCTATCTATCTATCAAGTTCAAGTTCTATCAGTTCTCACACGACATTGTCTAGCTTGAGTTGTTTGCTTTTCTGCTTGCTTGAACACTGTGAGTGTTTAATCTCACGCAATGTAATTATTGTATTTACCTTGAATTAAATAATTCTGTTTGAACTTCTGCGCGCATGAACAGTGCTTGATCGCACACGATGGTCTTATTATAACCCTCAGACGTACACCCAAACTCGCACCTCCACCGCGGTACCAATAGGGGGCTGGCTGAAACCCCCCACCTCTAGCGTTTTCGTCTTATTCTATTTTATATGCGTTTACTTTTTTGAAAAGATTCACCTTTAATAGATATAGGCTGTCACATCGTTTACAAGAATATGTTAATATTATGGGATACATACGTACGTAAGTAGCGCTGCTGAGGGCCAGTAACGTCATTTAGATTTTAAGCTTGGCTACGAAAGACTGCTTCGAAATACTAAGACGAAAAGAAAAAAAGGGAAAATAAAATTGTGGTTAAATAATGTGCCAAACAGGCCGTCCATCGACCGACGCTATATCTGAAATCATATGTGGTTTTCACTCATTCCGTGCGAAAGCGTTTTTAAAACTAACGGTTTAAGAAATTCCTTTTTGTCAAACAGTAGGCAATAAGAAGTGTTTATATAGAGCAGCCTCCTTCTTCTCCAGTTTAACAAGGCTTTTAATTTCAGAAAAATAGGGAGTCTTTATTTAATTTTATAGATGAAAAACTACACGGTAGCTAATCTGGGTATACCTTAATTCGAATCAAGTTGTTGGGTCTTATTACCTTTCTCTCTAGTTTTAGGAGGCGTAGGTGGGTACCTCAGGTAATTAACTACGGCCCTGCTTACAAAATGCACATACAACTGTTAATTAAAGTTCATCTCAGTTATTCCAAAGCGATAAAGAAAGTTTGGTCCCACGAAGATTTCCCTCAAATATAATCACAAGGTACAATTAAACGTTAAAGTATTCTCTACCACTTAATAACAAGAGTCCGAGGAATTTCGCACCATTGTATGTTACTTTCCAGTTTATAAAAACGGTACGAAGCAAATAACAACTAAAACTTGAACTGCTTCTGAATACGTGATAATGCGCTAAGATTGGCAAAAATAAAAACAGTTCTCGCATAACTTTGTCTAGCTTGAGTTGTTTGCCTTTCTGCCTGCTTGAACAGACGAGTCGCGGATGATCCTGTCATTTCACTGCAAACACCAGTAACCATTTTGTTTTATTTTCTGCTCTTTTTCCCATTTAACAAACTTCCAGTGTGAGAGATATTTAAACAGCAGTGCCCATCCTGAAGTACTAGGAATCAGATACGACGTGCGCACGTGCGTACAGCTTGCCACGCCCTTGATCACGAAATCTTTATAAGACATGTGACTCATAGATAAGACACCATTCTGTTCGTGGACGGAATTCCATCAACACTATTTCAGTGAGTTGCCTCATCCCAACAAGGTAACTGCTTTTTAATACTAAAAGCTAAACTCACCCTTTTGATATAGCAAAGGCAGGCACATTACCAAGTCCTTAATAATTTTGTGGTACCCTCTTTTAGTTAATAATGACATTTTGCGTTTCTTTTATCTAGACCTGATCTTCGAGATTTAATCATGAGGACCGCTTTCGTTTTCCTGACACTTCTCATGCTAGTCGTAGCATCAGTAACGGCCAGAGGTAGGTTATACCTAATTTTGGCTGGGTCTTCTGGAATTCAAGCACTAGCTTTTTACAACTTTATTCGATAACTGAAAGATAATCTTATTAAAAATTATAATATCAATTTTAGTGGAGGGCTATCCCAAATTTAACGAGTTTTAAAACAGTTTTGAATCAAAACCATATTTTTCAATAGCCATAGAAGTAACGTTTCCCTTGTCCGATCACAACAGCAGATTCCCCACTACTGATTTTGGATTAAAATTATGTCAAAATGTAGTTTTAAAAGCGATTTTTCAAGCTATTTGCTAGCTTTTTAAAAGGCCAAAAGGTGTCTTCGTGGCAATTGAATTGACTGCTAAAAATAATAGCCCACTTTTGTTATTTAAGACTTAAGACTATATCAAAACCGTTCCCTGTTGTGCTGTAGCTACGGATAGCAAGGATGGACATGGATTGAAGATATATCATCATGAATCTCATGCTCAGTGATAAAGTTGGGCTAATGCCTGCAAAAATCACTGAAAACATTATTACGATTGGTACTTTCTTATGAAATTTGTGTGGTGTCTTCATTATAAATGCACGGTAAGAGAGCATTTTGTGCATAGTAACGAATCAAAGCTATGACTTTATTTAGAACAGAATTGACCGCAATATCCTCGTGGCATAGCCCCTTTGAGTATATTACCATGACGATAACAAAGGTAGAGGAAATTTTTCAAGGAAGGAACACTTGATTTACGAATATTTTCTAGCCGCTGTATGTTTTTTGTAATTGAGACTCTCATTTAATTCACACTTTACAAGTTTCTATAGCCTCTCCGAAAACAGAAGCAATGAATACTGAAAAAATTCAACAAAGAAAGGTACAGTTTTCCAAGGGAAGTTTCCAATCACATTTCAACTCAAATTTCAGACGCGAAGAGTGCCCAGAGATTTGTAACAAGCCTTAAAGTTTACCGGTTAGAAATGTATTTGAAGAAAAGAATGGGTCTGAATAGTGAAATTTCCGGATTAATCATTTGATTGCTTCTTTTTACTCCAAGTTAATAAAAATTTACACAGACTCTCTCCTATTTTCAAGTTTAAAGTGACAGCTTTTTTTTTCGCTTTCTTTGCTACAGGGCCGTCTTCGTGCAAGGAGCTTTATGATCAAGGGTAAGTTGTAAGAGCTGATTCGGTCTAACATGTCTAAAACAAGAAACGGTTACAGGCAAATGGCATGCAGCTTCTTCGTTTTTATGTTTTTCACTTAAACCTTTTTGAAATATCGATGAGAAAGAAACAAGTGTTTTAAACGGCTGAGTTACATTCAAAACACCATCACCTCGTTGCCAATGGAAAAGGATGACATCTTGGATCACGTATATAGGACGAAATGACGACTTTAATTACAATGAAAGGTCGTACATGATCGAATTGGATTTGGTTTTACTACTTTTTTTTTAAGGCAAAGCTCACACCCTAACCAACACCAAAGTAAGGGTGGATTTCCATTGTCGCGTAAAAGTTCAGCATTTTCAACTTTTAAGTTAACGCTGGACCTTCCATACATTGTTTCTTTTTATTTTCGCGCGTAAAATGTATTACGTGCGCATGCACGTGAAAATTTAGCAACAGTGAAAATTCACCTTAAGGCCGACTCTTGAAACCTACTAACAACTAGTTTAAATTAACAACGAGGCATTTCAATTACAGCTCAAAGCAATTACATAAAAAACGGCCCCTACTCGAGTACTGTCATGATCATTTCGGGTATTCAGTAATTGAATACGTCTCGGCTGTATTCTCGAATCTGCCAAAGTGAGTCTGTCTGATTGGAGGGAATTCAAGAGCGCGCCCTTAGGATAATTCTTCCGAATTCACATTATGACGAGGCATTGATACTAAGTGGCCTGCCGTCTCTAAAAGACCGTAGGGCTGCTGCTTGCGAATCATTTATGCGTAATTTAAAAACATCCAATCCTGTGTTTGGCCTTGCCATGAGTGGAAGGGTAACTACCGTTCACTCGTACTCGTTACGAAGCTGCCGGAACTATAATAACAAAATGTGTAAGACAAAAGATTGTCAGAATTTGAATCTGTGAAATATTTAGATTTTTTGTCATAAGATAAATGTTAATTATGTGTAATTTGCGCACGATCCTGTTATCCAGCTCTTACTCAACTCTACTCTACCCTACCCTACCCTACCCTACCCTACACCTACTCTACTCTATTCTTTTGAAAATAGTTGACAAAGCTAATTATATAACATGGAGCGTGCCGTGCCAATGTTTAACACTCCTACGTCTTCAATTTTCAGAGAACGTAAAAGTGGCGCGTATGACCTAGGGATTAGTCCCGGACCAGTTTACTGTCACATGGGAGATGGAAACTTTGGATGCGGAGAAGGAGGATGGACTACTGTCATGAAAATCGATGGTGCACAGGTACTCTTCTTTAAAGTTGTACTTTTTCATTGCGAGCGACAAGGAGAATCCGCAATCCTAATATCTAGGTTATTAATACGCATGCGTCGCATGTATCAAGCCAGCATCCGTTTGGACTTTCACTAAGAATGAATGGAATCCAATTTGATCCCGCGTGTTTAGACCTTCCACTCACTTGTAATCTGATCCCGCGTGTTTAGACCTTCCACTCACTCGTAATCTGATCCCGCGTGTTTAGACCTTCCACTCACTCGTAATCTGATCCCGCGTGTTTAGACCTTCCACTCACTCGTAATCTGATCACGCGTGTTTTGACCTTCCACTCACTCGTAATCTGATCACGCGTGTTTTGACCATGTGTCACGCGAAACTTATGCAAAGCACAGCCCTAGAGCGAAAGCGTTTTGACCTTCGATCGTTGTCGCCCGCACGCCGTAACCTTTGGTTATTACTATATATTACGCTTGCGTCGCATGTAGTTAGCCAGCATTCGTTTGGAATTCCACTAAGAATGTATACAATTTGATCACGCTCGTTTGGAACTTTCATCACTCTTAATCTGATCACGCGTGTTTTTGAATATCGGTCATATGAAACTTACGCAAAGCACAGCGCTGGAGCAAAAGCGTTTTGACCTTCGATTGTTGTCGCCCGTACTCCGTAACCTTTGGCTAACACTAGTTGCTAGAGCCGGAGAATCTATATTAATTACAGAAAAGCAATTTTTACCCTTTAATTTCAGCCAACCTTCCACTACGATTCACATCATTGGAGCACCTATGGATCCAAATACCCACAAAATGGGACGACAGGATTCGACGACAAGGAAACCAAGTTGAAACCTACGATAAAACGAGTTTCACTAAGATCTGTCTCGGCATGAAGGTAGAGAGCCAGACCAGATTTATCGTCATCAATAAGAAGGCCAATTCGCTGTACGAATTGATTTCTAAAGAGACATACGAACCAACCACCCTGGGACGTGACGAATGGAAGAAGCTGGTTGGACCTCAAGCTTCTCTGCAGAACAACTGTGAAAGAGAAGGATTCAACGCCAAAGGAGACAGTTTTTTTTACCTTTCTAGAGCAAGAATTGGGATTATTGGAAACCAGGAAGACAACTGCGACAGCCCTGACTCCAGAATCGGCTTTGGTACTGGAGGACAAGAAAAACAGAGCACTCCGCGTCACAAAGAAAACACGTGTGGAAATGAGGCTCATTGGTCGTCAGATAACCGAGATCAGTCCATCAAGGCCATGGGGTACATCTTAGTTCAATGAAGGCTGAGATTTGCACAAGTTGACAGAAGCAGTCGGATCTTAAAAAATTAGAACAGTTGATTATTGTAATTAGTGGTCTTAAGAAAATTGAAATATAAGGGATGTGTTAAACTAAAGGTAAAATAAACGCTTGCATGCACTGTCGATCAAAAATGTTTTGTTTCTTTGATCTTCTTGTTTGGTCGGGACAAACTTGTAAGAAGAACCCGAAACAAACAGCAGAGACTTTTGCTGTTGCTTTCATTTGTTACCCTCTAGGATTTTATCCGCGCGCTTAACGCTACCACACGAAAGTGCTGCTAAGTAGCTTTCATTTGAATGGATCACACTTTAGTATTTCATCCAAAGATTCAAAAGTTAGAACCACCTTGTACAGCGTAATAAACAGCACCACATGAAAGTGCTGCTAAGTAGCTTTCATTTGAATGGTCACACTTTAGGATTTCATCCAAAGATTCAAAAGTTAGAACCACCTTGTACAGCATAATGAAAAAAGCCACATGAAAGTACTGCTCCGGCAGTAGCTTTCATTTGAATGGTCACACTCTAGTATTTCATCAACACACTTTAAGCTAGAACCAAGTTGTACAGCAAAAAAGTTTTGCTCAGTAGCAGTTTCATTGAAATGTGCACAATTTAGGATTTCATCCACTGTCAAAATAGCGTATCATCCGATCAATTCCGTTGTATACGGGAAAAAGCTTAGCCTGCGTAGCAAGCGTTTCCTCGCGAGGTTCGTCTAGAAAGCTGGGACGAGAAAAAAAAAATGAATGACGGGGAGGGGAGGGAAAGAAGGAACCGCTTGCCCGCAAACTCCACGATTTTGAAAAACTGCGTTCGCCCACGAACGCAGCTTCTGATTGGCGCGGTGCAGGTGGTGTTGATTACTTAGCATTCGAAACATCAATCAATCCAGGTATGCTTTGTTTTCGTGCGTCACAGATCTGGTCTCATCTGATTTGTGGTCGCAGATTACAAATGCTTTGGACTGATATTTATTGGAATCGTGTTTGTGCGAAGGTTTATGAGATCAGAGTCTTCAAAGTATAATTGGAGATCGAGCAGTGGAGACTAGGGAAGGCCAATTTATTGAGAATCACGGCGTGCGGATCTGACTGGAAAAAATGGACTGTTTGTTGGAGATAACATCAACATAAATCAGAACATCGGTACTCGACACTAGCTGAAGCCGCCATGGACAAGCGATTTGTCAGCTTTTTGGCATGAAAAGATTCTTTTTGTTTATTGGAAATTTAGTGGCATCTATTTTAGAGAACGTTTCGACACAGGCTGAAGAGCAGCCGCTCTGCAAAACTTATACCCTACGGAGTGAATTGTTCTTGACGTGTCGAAAGGTTTCAGACGAGATAAAGCCACACAATAAAAAACAAGAAATTCCGCATCAATCGCTCATGGTTTTAACTTTCTTTTATCGTAAATCTCTTTTATTACAGTTCTTGCAATCGCCTGCAACGTGTTCTATTAGAGAACAAAGTAATTTTACAAATCTGGTAATCCAGGGGTAATCTGTTCGTTATGTTTCTATTTTGACGAGCTGTCAATTTACAAATGAACCGAACCGTGAAATATCAAGGGGCGTTTTTCAGAATCGTGGGGTTTGCGGGCAAGCGTTTCCTCTTCTCCGTCCCCCCCTCCCCTTCAACTTTTTTTTTTTTTGCTTCCGCTCTAACTTTCGCGCAATAACTCGATGGGAAACGCTTGCTACGCAGGCTAGAAAAAGCTTGCCTGAGATGTACAAACAACCCAAAACGTTTCCTATATATCATCAAAGTCGAACGGTCTTGGTTTACTGACATTCATTTTTCATTTCTTTCATGTCATATTTTTAAAGCAAAAATATTTCCCAATTGGACTAGGATTTTTTTACAAGGCTCCGCCTTGTATCTTAGGGAAAATGTGTCAAAATGCAATTGATTCGCCAAAATGTCACGATCCAAATTCGCCCATTATTGGGCAAGGGTAAATAAAATAACCAGTAAAAGAAAAATTTTTTTTGTTTTCAAAATTTTAAAAATGTCACGTCACTGAATCACCTCATCTTAAATTGTTCAAGTTTGTCGAATGTAATTCGTGCTAATCTCCTGCATCCAAAACCATTTAAATCCTTTGCAGTAAGTTATTTCGTCTTTCGCGTTTTTCTTTTTTAACTCTTTCAGCCCTGCTGTCTACTTTATAAAACGGTAGTCACGGGAATGAAGGCTGAAAAGATCAAACAGTACTTCTACAAAAAATGCACAGGGGAAATAAGATTTTATTTTTGTCATCAGTGTTAAAAGGGTTATTACATTTTTGGACTCCCTTCGACTTCCATGATTATTTTGCGCGTTGCCAAAAAAAGTATCTTTTGTGACAGTGCTTCTTCAGACAGCGTTCGAGTGACCACTTTGAATGCTATTAGGACTTATATTATAAGAATTTTTTCAAAAAAGGATTGAATTCTTTATTTTGAATAGAGGGCTAAGATTGCCTCTAGTTACGGGGAGACAATATCTCAGGAAAAGAGTCACAAACACGCCAATGTTTAATTTAGTTTAAAACCAATGGACCTTTAAAATTTGCGATTCTTTCGGCCGTAAATCGAAAAGATCCCGCCGGTTAAAAAATTTGCCTGTACTCGTGTGTCGTTGCTAAGGCACTTGCTCAGCATACTGGCACCGCTTGAACAGCGAGCAAAACAGCTACAAACGACCGCTTCAGCATGAAAACTTGCAACCTTCTATTTAGCTTCCTGTTATTCTTACGACTGGATGTCAGAAGGTCTGTTTTTCTCTTCAGTCCTAAATCATGGAACCAGCCCCGTATAAGGGAAGCCGGATTCCGAAATCCGTTAAATGTTTGCTTGTAAAATCTGTAATCCTGGACTATGGAATCCAGAATACAGCTTAAGGGATCTGGAATCTCACTAATGATTGGAGTCGGGAATCAAGTTCGACTGGCAGAGAATTTCCGGTATTGAGTACCCGGAATCCAAAATCCAAGACTGTCTTGGATTCCCTTACATCGGGCGAACGGAACGGGTCTGATAACACAATATCGATTGGTACCTTTTAGCTGGAACCTAATGAATGTGGTCGTAATATTGTGCTGTGTGACAGGTACTTCACTGTATATCTAAGAAAGCCGCAAACTACTCCTTTACAACTCTGGTGACTCAGGAGGGAATTTCTCAGAAACAATTAAATTGTCTATATCCACAGAGTAACAGAGCCTTCTAGATGGATTAGTTTTCTGCGTTACGCTTTAGCATTTCACTCGTAAAAAAAAACAGCCTCAATTGACGTTCTGGCCAGAGTGACTTTTTTCTTTCAGCAAACCATCAGCGACTAAGGAAAACTTAATTGATGAATTAACAGGAGCACGTTCACGGATGAATTGGATTGAGTTTAATTCGTTTGAATTAGCTCAGTTAAGTGAATTTGGACTCTATAGCACTTCTCTGTAGTGAGATACTTTGTGGAAAAAGGTTGAAACGGAAACGTTTCAGCCGTCTCCGTGATCAAGTCTCTGTTTCCCCTAGTTAATTTTCATTCGTTCTTCAGCGACAAGGGAAAGTCATGCATGTACTGAAATAACAGCACGTCTATATGGCAAAAATCTACAATTTGCTTTCATATTATATCCGTTCAGCCACATGATAAATTTCCGAAGTTTTCTTTGTAGTCTCATTCGGTGTATCACGACTTAGTAGTTGCGGCAGGGAGCTTCCAAGCTTCTAAGGCAAAACATTTTAAGCCTACACTGCAAAGAGCTTTGGCAAACAGGCACGCAAGCAGTGAGTCTTGTTGAATCTGTAGTTACGTCTTGTAATACTTCTTTGCTTATTTTTCATAACATGATTACGTCGTTAGAAAAGGTATCGGTGCGCCATGTATATAAGCTTATATATATATTCACATTTTCATGTCCAAAACAATTTCAACAGGCATCCCAATACAGTGTGGGCTCCAAACCTCCAGCCTGGAGCCTAAAAAGCCAACACACAGAGTTTAGCGCGCTGAAACAGAAGAAAACCAGATGGCCCTAAAAACTCTGAAACCGTATTTAGCACATTATAACTACAATAAATCGGCAGAGGCCATGCTGGAGGCCTGCAACTAAGTGCTCAACGGTCCACTCTTTGATAGATTGCGCTAACATAATTTTTGGCATAATTCGGCATTTAATACGAGCAATAATTTTCATCTTTTTTCCGAAAAAACTGTACTGCTGGCACTTTTGGCCAGAATTGTCATATACTGGTCATGCAACCAATTTTTTTGGCCCAAGATCAGTGTTACAGAGAAAAAATTAATTGTTTGTCTGCCTGTTGTCACATTCGTGGAGCTTACATGTAGGTCTTACAGGAAGTGACCCAGGATTAGGCCCAGGACCTTTTCCAACTCAACACATGCGCATAACTAGCTCGGTTACCCAAGATGGGGACTGCGTGCTGGTCAGTTTTTATTTAATAGTAGTCAGACAATTAATTATGTACTTTCTAGAAGTAAATAATGTTAATGTACTCACGATTTACTAGTTTTTTTTTTTTTTTGCATTGTTATTGAGGGTTTTGAGTGAAAAGAAGAGTATTTGTTACGATTTTTATCACTTATTTTATTCATTTTTATCTCTTATTTTATTATTTTGCCACACAGAATAAATTACGGGGTGTCCCAAAAGTTCGTTCCTCTACTTTATAAGTCTGTATTTCAGAACGATTGGACTTGGTAAGCAAATCATTTCAACAAAAGTTGTGTCTTTCAATCTAATTCACTATTTTCATACTTGTTGTGCCATCTTTTGACTCGAATATTCGATATGTGTACTTCCGCGCCAAAGGTGCGCGTGCGCGAGTATATTTTCCAATCACACATTTTTTGTATTTCATAGCCCGAATCGCTCGAACTCCTTCCTAGTTTTTTTGTGAATATCACGAAAGATAAACCCCCTTAGCGCATAAACGTTCCGCTGCGTGAGAGCATAAGCCTGTATACTTCTATTTACTGGCTCATCTGTTGTAGAAATTGCTAAAAACTGGAAAAATCCAAATGTTGGGCGGTAGAATGATCATGGAGAAATGAAGGTTTTGAAGGCAAGAAACTAAGGGGAAGATCAAAAGCCCTGAATAAGGCAGCTAAAATAGTTTTAATGAAGGCTAAATAAAAAATCATGAGGAGACTCGACAAGGAAGCTCAGTCTCTCACATAGTTCGCAAGCCAAATAAAAGGGTCATGAAAAGCTGTTTGAAATGTTGAAAATTAGAGGCCCCTGAGATGGCAAAAAATCCTCTGTTTAGTCTGCCAATTAACGCCCAGCTTGAGTCAAATATGTAAAGAATTACAAAAGCCTTGCTGTGGAAGGGGGTCGGGATGATTATCTTTTTTGGATGAATGCCCGATCCGGCATAGGGTGAACCAAGCCTCGTTTGTCTAGTATATCAGCGGTTATTTGATAAATGGCAATATTTCGCTCTCTCTCGTCTAAAAACTGTTTATTGTACATATTTCAGGTGCAACTTGTCAGAGAGAGATGCAGTTGCAATTCTGTGAAGGCGATTCACATACACTCTCTTGCACTCATTTTTCCAAGAACATCAGTATCCTTTCTGCAAACTACGGTCGTTTGACTGGAGCTCAAGTCTGTGGCTGGGGACCAATAAAGTCCACTCACTGCAAAGCTGATGGAGCACTTGCCAAAGTTCAAGCTCACTGTCAGGGACGTTCACATTGCACATTGCGGGCAACCAACAGCGAGTTTGGTGATCCCTGCGATGAAACTTACAAATATCTAGAGGTAACTATTTTTCTTAGCCAAACCTTTTCTCAACTTGGTTTCAAAGGGATCTCTTTTCTTCAATTTCTCATTGTCGCCAGGATTCGTAGCTTTGGCAAGTTTATCGATCTTGAAAAAGAAGTCGTAGCCTGAGTAGCTTGTGTGGAAGAGAGGAGCGAAAAGGGGAAAAGGGAAGAAGGGAGACTGAGAAACTACTGACACAAAAATGACGGGAGAAGGGTCTATCTTTCCCCAGCATTTACCTTAATTTGTATTTGTAGTGTCCACCCCTTTTTTTCTTGGCTTTCCCGGCCACTTCAGCCCTTTTTCTATTGTGAATTATTATTAAAGCGATGTAACCTAATGTCATCCAATCCCGTCCTCCCCCACATCAGGGTGGAAAAGAAAATTCAAAAATGGAAATAAGATGGGTAAATATCTACATCCGACAACTGATTTCTATAGATGTACATGTTACTGGTTATTGAATATGCTCTGATCCTTAACTCGATTTTGATCCCTTTTGGACTGTTGGAATGGGTACAGTTAATAGCTTGATGGCAGCAAGCCTTGATTTCGTTTTGTTGATAATATATACTAACTCATGTCCGCTGAATTCAACAGATTCGCTACATATGTGAGTGAGAACGCCAAGACTCTGGTTCAGTTAAAAACGGTGGCGTGAGCCGTTAGTAGTGATCGAAAAAGACAACCTTCATTAATAGCTGTGCAAAGAAAGTGCCACTTGACAATTTAGACGATTTAGCTTATGTAGTTTGCTTGGAAAGAAAATCATTAAACTTCTTTTTGAACGAGAATGTTGTACATCGATATTTTTTCTACCCCTTTTTTTTTCTACTGTTATAGCGTGGCGTCATTTGTTTTAGAACCTCATTTGGTTCGCGCTTTCCTTCGCTTCCCTTCGTTGAACAGGCTATGATGTTTTGCTTCCTTGCGTGTTTCGCTTGGTCAAAAAAGAAAGGAAAATAGAGAACAATCTTGCCAGCTTATAGGAGATAGATAACTTTAAAATTATCCTGGTCAAATATTAGCACCTTTTGCTGCAAAAAATGACTAGCTTTGCTCACTGAATAAAAAAGCCGTTCCATTTAAAGAAAAACGTTTAGAACGGGATGGCGAGAGACGAACCAAGCTTAGAGTTAAGCTCATGAAAAGTTCGACCTCTGGCTCGGTTGATTTCGTGTGCATCATTTAGACGAACTCAACTCGGAGAGTTTGGATCCTCCAACACTTCTAAGATAATACATATTTAGCCTGGTTCGGGAGAAAATTAATTAAAATTGTTTTTTGGTCTGCTTCAGTTGGTTTGTTCGACGCGTCGTCCTAAGTTCGACGTCTGACCCAACAGACGATCTTAACTTAATTTAGGTCGACTCAAATTAGAGTTTGGTTCGTCTCATGAACAGTTCCACGTTTGGTCTAGGCCTTAGAGTCGACAAATTTGGTTACGTTTACATGCCCTAGATAAGATTCAGGAGATTTTACCTGATTCATTAATGTTTTCGGTTTTACACAAAATACGAATCCGAGAAAATCCATATCTACTAAAGATTCCTCACTCACATTACCAGGCATTCCGCTGATGAGATCAGAGGCACCTTGTTGCGGTGGTGGACTATCTTGTATTTGTCTGCTTACTATTCACTTCATAGTTTAATTTTAACAACCCCCAAATCCAACATTTTTCAAGTTTTTAAAATTTTAAATAACACCCATTAATTTTTATACATCAAACTCGAAAATCATCTAAAAACTATTAATTCAAGAACTGAAAACTAATTGGCAATGAATCATTTTTCGATTGCATGAAATATTGGCTGATATTTAAGAAAAAAGGGGGGAAATGTGCGAAAAGCAATGCTTTAAACCAGTCCTTAAAGGATTCTTACTAGAAGTTGTCTGTCGTGTTATCGTGACTACACTCTATGCACTCTTGTCCTCGTTGAACTTACAATTTCTCGTCCCATCTGTGAAAACGTTTGTCACCTAACGCTCTCCCCAAGGTTGATTCACATATTACCTATTTACAAAGGTAGCTCAAAAGCTCTTCTCGCTTACTAACGAGAAGAAAAGCTTATTCAGTGGAAAAATAAGAAAAAGGGAAGCTTAAAAAAAAATAGAGCTGCGATGATGGCTCGCACTGATGTTTAGTACTTCTGGTTAAACACAGATTTAGAACGCCGGGTTAGTTTTCTTTACTACAAACTCCAAAGAGAAGCTAAGAGACAAAATAGTGCAGCGATTATGGTTTGTGCTGATGTATAGCGATTACGGTTAAGCACTGATTTCAGATTTAGAATGGTTAGCTCCGTTAATAAAGAAGAGCCGCCTTCTTTAGTCCAACAAGGCTTTTGAGAGGTGATCAAAGAACTGGTTAATACTGTAGATGCTATTATTTAACGTAGCAGATGAAAATTTTCATGATCGCTTAGCCAATGCTTTTTACTTAACTTATACCAAGTAGTTGCCTTAAGAATATATGGACTAGTCTTTCGCCCCCTAGTATTTTATCTTTTAAGCCTTAATATTTAGTTTAATAATCGTGTGGCTTTTACGAGGAAATCTACGTTCAGTTTGTAAACAAATTGTGCTTTTTGCTTCGAAGAATAAACATTCGCTCTTTTTTCAGGAACGCTTATGCGTACATGTTTACTTGTAGCCACGGCTTGGCTTATGCTAAATACACCTTTTCAAATATAGGAAGCTCCAACTTACAATTCTAGTGCGATTAAAAAAACATTGCATCTGCGAAGATTTTTCCGGTAATCACAAAGTACAATTACACGCTGTGAAGGTGTTCTCTATCGTTTAAGAATAAAAGCCCAATTAAATTCGTACTTTTATATGATATGGAATCCGTTAGGAACAATTTAAAAAAGATACACTGCTATTGATCAATACATGTCAATTCACTAACGCATTTGCAAAAAAAGAAAAGTTCAGCACACTCACATGTGAATAGTTAGCGATCGATAGCCAGCACGAACTGAGAAAGGTTTCGCCGCCAGTGTTTCTGTTCCACGTGAATTCGACCTAAGGCGCCTATACCCGTCTCAGTGGCCTACCAATAGGATCAAGAATAATTTTTCAATGGCTTTATGTCAGCACTGATATGTCTTGAATTTTATTGTTGATCATAAGTGTTTCAAATTGAAGCTTAGGTGGTAACTGTACCTTTTTTAACTTAAATCTTATTTTTAAGCGTATTTATACCTCTATTTTTTTTCATTCATTTTTATATTTTAATACATTTTAAATTTTATATGTAATACACAATTCAGCCATATACAGCTGGGACGTATTTTAATAAAGTGTCTATCTATCTATCAAGTTCAAGTTCTTTCAGTTCTCACACGACATTGTCTAGCTTGAGTTGTTTGCTTTTCTGCTTGCTTATTGAACACTGTGAGTGTTTAATCTCACGCAATGATCCGCTCATTTTACTTCAAACGCCAGTAATTATTGTATTTACCTTGAATTAAATAATTATGTTTGAACTTCTGCGCGCATGAACAGTGCTTGATCGCACACGATGGTCTTATTATAACCCTCAGACGTACACCCAAACTCGCACCTCCACCGCGGTACCAATAGGGGGCTGGCTGAAACCCCCCACCTCTAGCGTTTTCGTCTTATTCTATTTTATATGCGTTTACTTTTTTGAAAAGATTCACCTTTAATAGATTCACCTTTAATAGATATAGGCTGTCACATCGTTTACAAGAATATGTTAATATTATGGGATACATACGTACGTAAGTAGCGCTGCTGAGGGCCAGTAACGTCATTTAGATTTTAAGCTTGGCTACGAAAGACTGCTTCGAAATACTAAGACGAAAAGAAAAAAAGGGAAAATAAAATTGTGGTTAAATAATGTGCCAAACAGGCCGTCCATCGACCGACGCTATATCTGAAATCATATGTGGTTTTCACTCATTCCGTGCGAAAGCGTTTTTAAAACTAACGGTTTAAGAAATTCCTTTTTGTCAAACAGTAGGCAATAAGAAGTGTTTATATAGAGCAGCCTCCTTCTTCTCCAGTTTAACAAGGCTTTTAATTTCAGAAAAATAGGGAGTCTTTATTTAATTTTATAGATGAAAAACTACACGGTAGCTAATCTGGGTATACCTTAATTCGAATCAAGTTGTTGGGTCTTATTTTACTTTTTCAACTCAAACTAGTTTTTAGGAGGCGTAGGTGGGTACCTCAGGTAATTAACTACGGCCCTGCTTACAAAATGCACATACAACTGTTAATTAAAGTTCATCTCAGTTATTCCAAAGCGATAAAGAAAGTTTGGTCCCACGAAGATTTCCCTCAAATATAATCACAAGGTACAATTAAACGTTAAAGTATTCTCTACCGCTTAATAACAAGAGTCCGAGGAATTTCGCACCATTGTATGTTACTTTCCAGTTTATAAAAACGGTACGAAGCAAATAACAACTAAAACTTGAACTGCTTCTGAATACGTGATAATGCGCTAAGATTGGCAAAAATAAAAACAGTTCTCACATAACTTTGTCTAGCTTGAGTTGTTTGCCTTTCTGCCTGCTTGAACAGACGAGTCGCGGATGATCCTGTCATTTCACTGCAAACACCAGTAACCATTTTGTTTTATTTTCTGCTCTTTTTCCCATTTAACAAACTTCCAGTGTGAGAGATATTTAAACAGCAGTGCCCATCCTGAAGTACAAGGAATCAGATACGACGTGCGCACGTGCGTACAGCTTGCCACGCCCTTGATCACGAAATCTTTATAAGACATGTGACTCATAGATAAGACACCATTCTGTTCGTGGACGGAATTCCATCAACACTATTTCAGTGAGTTGCCTCATCCCAACAAGGTAACTGCTTTTTTAATACTAAAAGCTAAACTCACCCTTTTGATATAGCAAAGGCAGGCACATTACCAAGTCCTTAATAATTTTGTGGTACCCTCTTTTAGTTAATAATGACATTTTGCGTTTCTTTTATCTAGACCTGATCTTCGAGATTTAATCATGAGGACCGCTTTCGTTTTCCTGACACTTCTCATGCTAGTCGTAGCATCAGTAACGGCCAGAGGTAGGTTATACCTAATTTTGGCTGGGTCTTCTGGAATTCAAGCACTAGCTTTTACAACTTTATTCGATAACTGAAAGATAATCTTATTAAAAATTATAATATCAATTTTAGTGGAGGGCTATCCCAAATTTAACGAGTTTTAAAACAGTTTTGAATCAAAACCATATTTTTCAATAGCCATAGAAGTAACGTTTCCCTTGTCCGATTCACAACAGCAGATTCCCCACTACTGATTTTGGATTAAAATTATGTCAAAATGTAGTTTTAAAAGGGATTTTTCAAGCTATTTGCTAGCTTTTTAAAAGGCCAAAAGGTGTCTTCGTGGCAATTGAATTGACTGCTAAAAATAATAGCCCACTTTTGTTATTTAAGACTTAAGACTATATCAAAACCGTTCCCTGTTGTGCTGTAGCTACGGATAGCAAGGATGGACATGGATTGAAGATATATCATCATGAATCTCATGCTCAGTGATAAAGTTGGGCTAATGCCTGCAAAAATCACTGAAAACATTATTACGATTGGTACTTTCTTATGAAATTTGTGTGGTGTCTTCATTATAAATGCACAGTAAGAGAGCATTTTGTGCATAGTAACGAATCAAAGCTATGACTTTATTTAGAACAGAATTGACCGCAATATCCTCGTGGCATAGCCCCTTTGAGTATATTACCATGACGATAACAAAGGTAGAGGAAATTTTTCAAGGAAGGAACACTTGATCTACGAATATTTTCTAGCCGCTGTATGTTTTTTGTAATTGAGAATCTCATTTAATTCACACTTTACAAGTTTCTATAGCCTCTCCGAAAACAGAAGCAATGAATACTGAAAAAATTCAACAAAGAAAGGTACAGTTTTCCAAGGGAAGTTTCCAATCACATTTCAACCCAAATTTCAGACGCGAAGAGTGCCCAGAGATTTGTAAGAAGCCTTAAAGTTTACCGGTTAGAAATGTATTTGAAGAAAAGAATGGGTCTGAATAGTGAAATTTCCGGATTAATCATTTGATTGCTTCTTTTTACTCCAAGTTAATAAAAATTTACACAGACTCTCTCCTATTTTCAAGTTTAAAGTGACAGCTTTTTTTCGCTTTCTTTGCTACAGGGCCGTCTTCGTGCAAGGAGCTTTATGATCAAGGGTAAGTTGTAAGAGCTGATTCGGTCTAACATGTCTAAAACAAGAAACGGTTACAGGCAAATGGCATGCAGCTTCTTCGTTTTTATGTTTTTCACTTAAACCTTTTTTGAAATATCGATGAGAAAGAAACAAGTGTTTTAAACGGCTGAGTTACATTCAAAACACCATCACCTCGTTGCCAATGGAAAAGGATGACATCTTGGATCACGTATATAGGACGAAATGACGACTTTAATTACAATGAAAGGTCGTACATGATCGAATTGGATTTGGTTTTACTACTTTTTAAGGCAAAGCTCACACCCTAACCAACACCAAAGTAAGGGTGGATTTCCATTGTCGCGTAAAAGTTCAGCATTTTCAACTTTTAAGTTAACGCTGGACCTTCCATACATTGTTTCTTTTTATTTTCGCGCGTAAAATGTATTACGTGCGCATGCACGTGAAAATTTAGCAACAGTGAAAATTCACCTTAAGGCCGACTCTTGAAACCTACTAACAACTAGTTTAAATTAACAACGAGGCATTTCAATTACAGCTCAAAGCAATTACATAAAAAACGGCCCCTACTCGAGTACTGTCATGATCATTTCGGGTATTCAGTAATTGAATACGTCTCGGCTGTATTCTCGAATCTGCCAAAGTGAGTCTGTCTGATTGGAGGGAATTCAAAAGCGCGCCCTTAGGATAATTCTTCCGAATTTACATTATGACGAGGCATTGATACTAAGTGGCCTGCCGTCTTTAGAAGACCGTTGGGCAGCTGCTTGCGAATCATTTATGCGTAATTTAAAACCATCCATGTGTTTGGCCTTGCCATAAGTGGAAGGGTAGCTACCGTTCACTCGTACTCGTTACGAAGCTGCCGGAACTATAATAACAAAATGTGTAAGACAAAAAGATTGTCAGAATTTGTATCTGTGAAATATTTAGATTATTTTCATAAGATAAATGTTAATTATGCGTAATTTGCGCACTATCCTGTTATCCAGCTCTTACTCAACTCTACTCTACCCTACCCTACCCTACCCTACCCTACCCTACTCTACTCTATTCTTTTGAAAGTAGTTGACAAAGCTAATTATATAACATGGAGCGTGCCGTGCCAATGTTTAACACTCCTACGTCTTCAATTTTCAGAGAACGTAAAAGTGGCGCGTATGACCTAGGGATTAGTCCCGGACCAGTTTACTGTCACATGGGAGATGGAAACTTTGGATGCGGAGAAGGAGGATGGACTACTGTCATGAAAATCGATGGTGCACAGGTACTCTTCTTTAAAGTTGTACTTTTTCATTGCGGGCGACAAGGAGAATCCGCAATCCTAATATCTAGGTTATTAATACGCATGCGTCGCATGTATCAAGCCAGCATCCGTTTGGACTTTCACTAAGAATGAATGGAATCCAATTTGATCCCGCGTGTTTAGACCTTCCACTCACTTGTAATCTGATCCCGCGTGTTTAGACCTTCCACTCACTCGTAATCTGATCCCGCGTGTTTAGACCTTCCACTCACTCGTAATCTGATCCCGCGTGTTTAGACCTTCCACTCACTCGTAATCTGATCACGCGTGTTTTGACCTTCCACTCACTCGTAATCTGATCACGCGTGTTTTGACCATGTGTCACGCGAAACTTATGCAAAGCACAGCCCTAGAGCGAAAGCGTTTTGACCTTCGATCGTTGTCGCCCGCACGCCGTAACCTTTGGTTATTACTATATATTACGCTTGCGTCGCATGTAGTTAGCCAGCATTCGTTTGGAATTCCACTAAGAATGTATACAATTTGATCACGCTCGTTTGGAACTTTCATCACTCTTAATCTGATCACGCGTGTTTTTGAATATCGGTCATATGAAACTTACGCAAAGCACAGCGCTGGAGCAAAAGCGTTTTGACCTTCGATTGTTGTCGCCCGTACTCCGTAACCTTTGGCTAACACTAGTTGCTAGAGCCGGAGAATCTATATTAATTACAGAAAAGCAATTTTTTACCCTTTAATTTCAGCCAACCTTCCACTACGATTCACATCATTGGAGCACCTATGGATCCAAATACCCACAAAATGGGACGACAGGATTCGACGACAAGGAAACCAAGTTGGAAACCTACGATAAAACGAGTTTCACTAAGATCTGTCTCGGCATGAAGGTAGAGAGCCAGACCAGATTTATCGTCATCAATAAGAAGGCCAATTCGCTGTACGAATTGATTTCTAAAGAGACATACGAACCAACCACCCTGGGACGTGACGAATGGAAGAAGCTGGTTGGACCTCAAGCTTCTCTGCAGAACAACTGTGAAAGAGAAGGATTCAACGCCAAAGGAGACAGGCGTTTTTTTTACCTTTCTAGAGCAAGAATTGGGATTATTGGAAACCAGGAAGACAACTGCGACAGCCCTGACTCCAGAATCGGCTTTGGTACTGGAGGACAAGAAAAACAGAGCACTCCGCGTCACAAAGAAAACACGTGTGGAAATGAGGCTCATTGGTCGTCAGATAACCGAGATCAGTCCATCAAGGCCATGGGGTACATCTTAGTTCAATGAAGGCTGAGATTTGCACAAGTTGACAGAAGCAGTCGGATCTTAAAAAATTAGAACAGTTGATTATTGTAATTAGTGGTCTTAAGAAAATTGAAATATAAGGGATGTGTTAAACTAAAGGTAAAATAAACGCTTGCATGCACTGTCGATCAAAAATGTTTTGTTTCTTTGATCTTCTTGTTTGGTCGGGACAAACTTGTAAGAAGAACCCGAAACAAACAGCAGAGACTTTTGCTGTTGCTTTCATTTGTTACCCTCTAGGATTTTATCCGCGCGCTTAACGCTACCACACGAAAGTGCTGCTAAGTAGCTTTCATTTGAATGGATCACACTTTAGTATTTCATCCAAAGATTCAAAAGTTAGAACCACCTTGTACAGCGTAATAAACAGCACCACATGAAAGTGCTGCTAAGTAGCTTTCATTTGAATGGTCACATCCTTTCAAAAGTTAGAACCATTTCATCCAAAGATTCAAAAGTTAGAACCACCTTGTACAGCATAATGAAAAAAGCCACATGAAAGTACTGCTCCGGCAGTAGCTTTCATTTGAATGGTCACACTCTAGTATTTCATCAACACACTTTAAGCTAGAACCAAGTTGTACAGCAAAAAGTTTTGCTCAGTAGCAGTTTCATTGAAATGTGCACAATTTAGGATTTCATCCACTGTCAAAATAGCGTATCATCCGATCAATTCCGTTGTATACGGGAAAAAGCTTAGCCTGCGTAGCAAGCGTTTCCTCGCGAGGTTCGTCTAGAAAGCTGGGACGAGAGCAAAAAAAAATGAATGACGGGGGAGGGGGAGGGGAAAGAAGGAACCGCTTGCCCGCAAACTCCACGATTTTGAAAAACTGCGTTCGCCCACGAACGCAGCTTCTGATTGGCGCGGTGCAGGTGGTGTTGATTACTTAGCATTCGAAACATCAATCAATCCAGGTATGCTTTGTTTTCGTGCGTCACAGATCTGGTCTCATCTGATTTGTGGTCGCAGATTACAAATGCTTTGGACTGATATTTATTGGAATCGTGTTTGTGCGAAGGTTTATGAGATCAGAGTCTTCAAAGTATAATTGGAGATCGAGCAGTGGAGACTAGGGAAGGCCAATTTATTGAGAATCACGGCGTGCGGATCTGACTGGAAAAAATGGACTGTTTGTTGGAGATAACATCAACATAAATCAGAACATCGGTACTCGACACTAGCTGAAGCCGCCATGGACAAGCGATTTGTCAGCTTTTTGACATGAAAAGATTCTTTTTGTTTATTGGAAATTTAGCGGTATCTATTTTAGAGAACGTTTCGACACAGGCTGAAGAGCAGCCGCTCTGCAAAACTTATACCCTACGGAGTGAATTGTTCTTGACGTGTCGAAAGGTTTCAGACGAGATAAAGCCACACAATAAAAAACAAAAAATTCCGCATCAATCGCTCATGGTTTTAACTTTCTTTTATCGTAAATCTCTTTTATTACAGTTCTTGCAATCGCCTGCAACGTGTTCTATTAGAGAACAAAGTAATTTTACAAATCTGGTAATCCAGGGGTAATCTGTTCGTTATGTTTCTATTTTGACGAGCTGTCAATTTACAAATGAACCGAACCGTGAAATATCAAGGGGCGTTTTTCAGAATCGTGGGGTTTGCGGGCAAGCGTTTCCTCTTCTCCCGTCCCCCTTCCCCTTCAACCTTTTTTTTTTTGCTTCCGCTCTAACTTTCGCGCAATAACTCGATGGGAAACGCTTGCTACGCAGGCTAGAAAAAGCTTGCCTGAGATGTACAAACAACCCAAAACGTTTCCTATATATCATCAAAGTCGAACGGTCTTGGTTTACTGACATTCATTTTTCATTTCTTTCATGTCATATTTTTAAAGCAAAAATATTTCCCAATTGGACTAGGATTTTTACAAGGCTCCGCCTTGTATCTTAGGGAAAATGTGTCAAAATGCAATTGATTCGCCAAAATGTCACGATCCAAATTCGCCCATTATTGGGCAAGGGTAAATAAAATAACCAGTAAAAAGAAATTTTTTTTTGTTTTCAAAATTTTAAAAATGTCACGTCACTGAATCACCTCATCTTAAATTGTTCAAGTTTGTCGAATGTAATTCGTGCTAATCTCCTGCATCCAAAACCATTTAAATCCTTTGCAGTAAGTTATTTCGTCTTTCGCGTTTTTCTTTTTTAACTCTTTCAGCCCTGCTGTCTACTTTATAAAACGGTAGTCACGGGAATGAAGGCTGAAAAGATCAAACAGTACTTCTACAAAAAATGCACAGGGGAAATAAGATTTTATTTTTGTCATCAGTGTTAAAAGGGTTATTACATTTTTGGACTCCTTCGACTTCCATGATTATTTTGCGCGTTGCAAAAAAAGTATCTTTTGTGACAGTGCTTCTTCAGACAGCGTTCGAGTGACCACTTTGAATGCTATTAGGACTTATATTATAAGAATTTTTTCAAAAAGGATTGAATTCTTTATTTTGAATAGAGGTCTAAGATTGCCTCTAGTTACGGGGAGACAATATCTCAGGAAAAGAGTCACAAACACGCCAATGTTTAATTTAGTTTAAAACCAATGGACCTTTAAAATTTGCGATTCTTTCGGCCGTAAATCGAAAAGATCCCGCCGGTTAAAAAATTTGCCTGTACTCGTGTGTCGTTGCTAAGGCACTTGCTCAGCATACTGGCACCGCTTGAACAGCGAGCAAAACAGCTACAAACGACCGCTTCAGCATGAAAACTTGCAACCTTCTATTTAGCTTCCTGTTATTCTTACGACTGGATGTCAGAAGGTTTGTTTTTCTCTTCAGTCCTAAATCATGGAACCAGCCCCGTATAAGGGAAGCCGGATTCCGAAATCCGTTAAATGTTTGCTTGTAAAATCTGTAATCCTGGACTATGGAATCCGGAATACAGCTTAAGGGATCTGGAATCTCACTAATGATTGGAGTCGGGAATCAAGTTCGACTGGCAGAGAATTTCCGGTATTGAGTCCCCGGAATCCAAAATCCAAGACTGTCTTGGATTCCCTTACATCGGGCGAACGGAACGGGTCTGATAACACAATATCGATTGGTACCTTTTAGCTGGAACCTAATGAATGTGGTCGTAATATTGTGCTGTGTGACAGGTACTTCACTGTATATCTAAGAAAGCCGCAAACTACTCCTTTACAACTCTGGTGACTCAGGAGGGAATTTCTCAGAAACAATTAAATTGTCTATATCCACAGAGTAACAGAGCCTTCTAGATGGATTAGTTTTCTGCGTTACGCTTTAGCATTTCACTCGTAAAAAAAAAACAGCCTCAATTGACGTTCTGGCCAGAGTGACTTTTTTCTTTCAGCAAACCATCAGCGACTAAGGAAAACTTAATTGATGAATTAACAGGAGCACGTTCACGGATGAATTGGATTGAGTTTAATTCGTTTGAATTAGCTCAGTTAAGTGAATTTGGACTCTATAGCACTTCTCTGTAGTGAGATACTTTGTGGAAAAAGGTTGAAACGGAAACGTTTCAGCCGTCTCCGTGATCAAGTCTCTGTTTCCCCTAGTTAATTTTCATTCGTTCTTCAGCGACAAGGGAAAGTCATGCATGTACTGAAATAACAGCACGTCTATATGGCAAAAATCTACAATTTGCTTTCATATTATATCCGTTCAGCCACATGATAAATTTCCGAAGTTTTCTTTGTAGTCTCATTCGGTGTATCACGACTTAGTAGTTGCGGCAGGGAGCTTCCAAGCTTCTAAGGCAAAACATTTTAAGCCTACACTGCAAAGAGCTTTGGCAAACAGGCACGCAAGCAGTGAGTCTTGTTGAATCTGTAGTTACGTCTTGTAATACTTCTTTGCTTATTTTTCATAACATGATTACGTCGTTAGAAAAGGTATCGGTGCGCCATGTATATAAGCTTATATATATATTCACATTTTCATGTTTAAAACAATTTCAACAGGCATCCCAATACAGTGTGGGCTCCAAACCTCCACCCTGGAGCCTAAAAAGCCAACACACAGAGTTTAGCGCGCTGAAACAGAAGAAAACCAGATGGCCCTAAAAACTCTGAAACCGAATTTAGCACATTATAACTACAATAAATCGGCAGAGGCCATGCTGGAGGCCTGCAACTAAGTGCTCAACGGTCAACTCTTTGATAGATTGTGCTAACATAATTTTGGGCATAATTCGTCATTTAATACGAGCAATAATTTTCATCTTTTTTCCGAAAAAACTGTACTGCAGGCACTTTTGGCCAGAATTGTCATATACTGGTCATGCAACCAATTTTTTTGGCCCAAGATCAGTGTTACAGAGAAAAAATTAATTGTTTGTCTGCCTGTTGTCACATTCGTGGAGCTTACATGTACGTCCTACAGGAAGTGACCCAGGATTAGTCCCAGGACCCTTTCCAACTAAACACATGCGCATAACTAGCTCGGTTACCCAAGATGGGGACTGCGTGCTGGTCAGTTTTTATTTAATAGTAGGCAGACAATTAATTATGTACTTTCTAGAAGTAAATAATGTTAATGTACTCACGATTTACTAGTTGTTTTTTTTGCATTGTTATTGAGGGTTTTGAGTGAAAAGAAGAGTATTTGTTACGATTTTTATCACTTATTTTATTCATTTTTATCTCTTATTTTATTATTTTGCCACACAGAATAAATTACGGGGTGTCCCAAAAGTTCGTTCCTCTACTTTATAAGTCTGTATTTCAGAACGATTGGACTTGGTAAGCAAATCATTTCAACAAAAGTTGTGTCTTTCAATCTAATTCACTATTTTCATACTTGTTGTGCCATCTTTTGACTCGAATATTCGATATGTGTACTTCCGCGCCAAAGGTGCGCGTGCGCGAGTATATTTTCCAATCACACATTTTTTGTATTTCATAGCCGGAATCGCTCGAACTCCTTCCTTGTTTTTTTGTGAATATCACGAAAGATAAACCCCCTTAGCGCATAAACGTTCCGCTGCGTGAGAGCATAAGCCTGTAT